CATAATTTACAAACGAAGCATTTGTGTTTAGTGAGTCCGCCAGATCAGAGGCAGTAGGGATGACCAGGGATGTTCTCTTGATAAGTATATGAATTGGACCATTTTCCTGTTAAAATGTAGAGTACTTTTGGGTGTCAGTGAAATGTATGGAGTAAAAAGTACATTATTTTCTTTAGGAATGTAGTGAAGTAAAAGTAAAAGTTGGCAAAAATATAAATAGTAAAGTAAAGTACAGATACCCAAAAAAAACCACTTAAGTAGAATTTTTAAGTATTTTTACTTAAGTACTTTACACCACTGCATGTAGCTACTACATCAGGGCATGTAGTTACTCCATCAGGGCATGTAGTTACTCCATCAGGGCATGTAGCTACTCCATCAGGGCATGTAGCTACTCCATCAGGGATGTAGACATGTAGCTACTTCATCAGGGATGTAGACATGTAGCTACTCCATCAGGGATGTAGACATGTAGCTACTCCATCAGGGATGTAGACATGTAGCTACTCCATCAGGGATGTAGACATGTAGCTCCTCCATCATGTGCAACATGACAGACCATAATAAATAGCAGTGAGATGCAAGACGCTTTCAAATGGCACCCTATTCCCTATATAGTGCACAACGTTTGACATTTTTTGACAAAAGTAGTGCACTATAAAGGGAATAGGGTGCCACTTGGGAAACATCCTGGGTTTGGTTTAGCAGCTCCTAGGTGGGGGACTCAGTTGATCAGGTTAGTTAATCTGAACCAACATCAGGTTAGTTAATCTGAACCAACATCAGGTTAGTTCATCTGAACCAACATCAGGTTAGTTCATCTGAACCAACATCAGGTTAGTTCATCTGAACCAACATCAGGTTAGTTCATCTGAACCAACATCAGGTTAGTTCATCTGAACCAACATCAGGTTAGTTCATCTGAACCAACATCAGGTTAGTTCATCTGAACCATATAAGTGGAAACCAGGTCTGCGTACCAAATGGAACCATATGCCCTTTATAGTGCACTACTATTGACCAGGGCTCTGGTTGAAAGTAGTGCACTATACAGTGAATATGGTGCCATTGAGCACCAGAGCAGTACTCTGCCCTGCAGGCACATGTTCTGAGCCAGCTGCCCCTCTGTAAAGACTGAACAGCTCCCTCTCCCTCTCCTCCCCCGCTCTGCAACCCCACACCACACGGCTGTCCTGATACACCACCACACATGGAGGATATTCTACAGCTCATATTCTATTGTGCAAACATTAACTGCTTCTTCATCTTCCTAGTTTCAGGTATTGTTTTATCAGAAGAGACAACCCAGGGACAGAGAGACAGACAACACAGGGACAGAGAGAGGCAACCCAGGGACAGAGAGAGACAACCCAGGGACAGAGAGAGACAACACAGGGACAGAGACAACCCAGGGACAGAGAGAGACAGCCCAGGGACAGAGAGAGACAGCCCAGGGACAGAGAGAGACAGCCCAGGGACAGAGAGAGGCAACCCAGGGACAGAGAGAGACAACCCAGGGACAGAGAGAGACAACACAGGGACAGAGACAACCCAGGGACAGAGAGAGACAGTCCAGGGACAGAGAGAGACAGCCCAGGGACAGAGAGAGACAGCCCAGGGACAGAGAGAGACAGCCCAGGGACAGAGAGAGACAACACAGGGACAGAGAGAGGCAACCCAGGGACAGAGAGAGACAACCCAGGGACAGAGAGAGACAACACAGGGACAGAGACAACCCAGGGACAGAGAGAGACAGCTCAGGGACAGAGAGAGACAGCCCAGGGACAGAGAGAGACAGCCCAGGGACAGAGAGAGACAGCCCAGGGACAGAGAGAGACAACACAGGGACAGAGAGAGACAACCCAGGGACAGAGAGAGACAGCCCAGGGACAGAGAGAGACAACACAGGGACAGAGAGAGACAACCCAGGGACAGAGAGAGACAACCCAGGGACAGAGAGAGACAGCCCAGGGACAGATACAGTATGTGTATAAATAGCTTACATTCTACTGTGCAAACATTAGCTGCTTCTTTCTTGTTTCAGGTATGAATTAAATATTAAAAATAATATGTATAAAATCTGCCACAATTTATTCATAATAGAAGTAGCAAGAAATCCTAGGAGAGGAAACCCACATGGTGAAACTTAGAGAGAGCGAGAAAACCCAATGATAAACAGATGGGAAACGGAAAGAAAATCTAAATGTCCATGCCCAGGCTTGCACAATGGAGCCCTTCTCCTCCCCCATTCCTCCTCCTCCCCTGCAGAAGCAGACAGCCCAGCACAGGACACATCACAACCCCCTCACTACCACATGCACGCCACAACACACGCTCACTCCGGGGTGCGTCCCAAATGGCACTATATTCCTTACATAGTGCACTGCTTTTGACCAAGCAGCAGCCACATATAAAACGAAACAACCACCAAGTATGGCATCTTGACAAGCACATAGCTAGCGCACATGCCACTCCGATTGTCATTAATGTGCACAGAACTTTACAATCCACTTTACTTCCTGTAATAACCATGTGACCTTGGCTCTCTTCTCTGACCTGCATCGTCTTATAGTGGATTGAGTCCAGACTTCCTTCTACAGACTTTGTGGATTTTCATTGTCTAATGCAGGCTGGAAATGCATCTGTTTTGTTCTGCTCCATGAACCGTCAACCCTTTTTGCATTTCATCACGTCATACCAGGCGGTGTCCTTGTTCCGTCCTTGTTCTTCCGAATATACACAGAACATTGTGTTACACCGATATTCTGCATAAATCCATGTATTGAGGAAATCTCTTGTTGCATAGTTTTTTTTTTTTTTTTTTTCTACAGAGAACTTGGATTGTGTGGGCGTTAATTTAACTCTGGTGAACATTGTTACATTGTGTACAGTAATATTTGGTGTTGCAGAGGAATAGTCAATAATTGTAACTGAGTCGTGATAAGTTAAAGCTTTGTGGGTTATTGGGTAAACTAGAATGAACCTCTTCAGTTCCAAGGATACAAGTAATGTGAGCAATGTTAAGAGTTGACCTTGCCTCACTTCCCTGCGAATCAGCTTCAGACTTCAATGGTTTAAGAGGATAAACTGAGAAGAATGGTACCATATTGCCTATACTATATATACAAAGCTATGTGGACACCCCTTCAAATAAGTGGATTTGGCTTTTTCAACCACAACCAATGCTGACAGGTGTATACAATTGAGCACAGCCATGCAATCTCCATAGACAAACATTGGCAGTAGTATGGGCTTACTGAAGAGCTCAGTAACTTTCAACGTTTCCCAGTCATAGGATGCCACCTTTCCAAGTCAGTTCGTGAAATTTCTGCCCTGCTAGAGCTGCCCCAGTCAACTGTAAGTGCTTTTACTGTGAAGTTGGCCTCCCGAGTGGTCTAAGGCACTGCATCGCAGTGCTAGCTGTGCCACTAGAGATCCTGGTTCGAATCCAGGCTCAATCGTAGCCGGCCGCGACCGGGAGACCCATGGGGCGGCGCACAATTGGCCCAGGGTCGTCCAGGGTAGGGAATGGCCGGCAGGGATGTAGCTCAGTTGGTAGAGCATGGCGTTTGCAACGCCAGGGTTGTGGGTTCGATTCCCACGGTGGTATGAAAAAATAAATAAAAAATAATGTATGCACTCACTAACTGTAAGTCGCTCTGGATAAGAGCGTCTGCTAAATGACTAAAATGTAAAGTTGAAAACAGCAAGGCCCCTTAGTTCCAGTGAAGAGAAATCTTAATGCTACAGCATACAATGACATTCTAGATTATTCTGTTCCTCCAACAGTTTGGGGAAGGCCATTTCCTGTTTCAGCATGACAATGCCCCCTTGCACAAAGTGAGGTCCATACAGAAATGATTTGTCGAGATCAGCGTGGAAGAACTTGACTCGCCTGCACAGAGCCCTGACCTCAACCCCATCGAACACCTTTGGGATGAATTGGTACACCGACTGCGAGCCAGGCCTAATCGCCCAACATCAGTGCCCAACCTGACGAATGCTCTTGTGGCTGAATGGAAGCAAGCCCCCGCAGTAATGTTCCAACATCTAGTGGAAAGCCTTCCCAGAAGAGTGGAGGCTGTTATAGCAGAAAAGGGGGGACCAACTCCTTATTAATGCCCATGATTTTGGTATGAGATGTTTGACGAGCAGATGTCCAAACACTTTTGGTCATGTAGTGTATAGAAGAGACCCATAGGGCTCAGGTCAAAAGTAGTGCACAATATAGGGAGGGAGTATGGTGCCAAAGACAATCCCTAAGTAGTGCACTATAATGGGAATAGGGTGCAATTTGGGACACATCCATATGGTAATGAAGCTGTGAGTTAAGAGGTACTTACGGCGCAGAGCTTTTTGTTTACACCCGTTGATTCAAGTCACTGTGTACCGCAAAGATTAAGCAAGTGATATTCAACACTGCATCTTCATTATACTGGCTGGCACCTAGGACAGCAGCAAAGGGAACAGAGTGGTATTCACTCACTGCCTGAATTATAACCCTTAGACTTTAAAGCATAAAGGGTCATACATGCTCAGAACGAGTTATAAATCTGCAAGTTTCAGGTAAAGAGTTACCTAGATATGCATTGTAACAATCTGAACGTTGGAAGTCTTCCATAGTCGATGTTCTTTTTACCGTATATGTTCAGAAAAAAGATGTTTAGTGGCTAAAATGAGCACACACCATATTATAAAATTGGCAAAGCCTTTATTCATTATTTTTTGCGATTTATTTGAGTCATTGACAACTGTACTTTATAATGCCGTGTATACGTTCACAGAAATAAGCCTTAGGCTCAACAACACACAAAACGTTGAACGTCATAACATTGGCAGAACCTAGATCTAGACACGCCGCTGTTCACAGGGTCTTCGCTTTCCTTTTTGCATTGGCACAGCCTTATTCAGGTTCATCATTTAAAAAAAAACTATGTACACATTGAGATTTCACCCGAGTCATTGGCGACTGGACGGTCAACTGATCAGGTCAGAGGTCAGTAGTAGTCCTCAAGGTCAGCTTTGTCGCCCTGATTCTGAACAACCTGCTGCTTCCTGTATAAATCAGCAATCTGAAATAGAAAAATAGAATCACAGAAATCAGTGATTTGATTTCAGAGATAGGACCATTTGTATATGAGGGAGACGTTAATTACAAAATAGGCTGTGGGGAAAAAAAGCATACAAATAATCTTCCCTTGATTCCTTGCATCCTCTCCCCTTGACGCCTTCTCAAAACGCACTGGAGAAGGTCCAAGGGGAGGGACCTTGGACCTTCTCCTCCAATACAGATGAGAGGGAGGCGAGAAGAAAGGATGTGAGGAATCGTGGAAAGATGAATTGAGAAAGAGACCGAGAAATGAGGTGTTACAAGACGCACCACCCCAGTGTGTCTCAACGTACCTGTCCTCCTGAAGTGGCCTCCTCTGGCTTCTTATCCTCTCTGATCCTCAGGAAGCGCGGGAACCGAAGAGAGATGCCCTTCTCTGGGTCACACTGGGACACAGGAGAGAGAAAATACATGAATCATCGGCAACAGTGTATTTACACAGTCCCAAAATGGTTTGTAGACGGTCAACAACATTTCAACTAACTATGCCCTAACCATAACCGCAGCAAACGGTTGAAGCCATTCTCTGGGTCACAAAACAGAGAAGATAAGAGGACCAGAGAAAATACATTCATCTTTTCACCCAAACATGGCTGTTTGTTTGACCTGCTGCTGCTACAGAACATTAAAACAGACTACTTCAGTGAGTGCGGGTTTTCCTTTCCCAGTTTTTATGCATTATTAACCCAGCACCCGAGGACTTGAGCAGTAATGCAAAGCACTTTGAGACCTGGGCTCTGTCCCAAATGGCACCATATTTTCCTATTTAGTGCACTGGGCCCATAAGGCTCTGATCAAAAGTAGTGCACTATTTAGGAAATAGGGGGCCATTCGGGACACACACCAAAGTATAAATCACAGATTAGGGCACGTATCGACAAAGAGCTTTGGAGTAGGAGTGCTGATATGAATAAGATTGATGGACGGCAGCACTGATACTCTGGCCCTGACAGGTAGCCTAAACATTGGACCTATATGAGTGTGTATTTAAGTTGTGGGTAACATCATGGGTTCATGGTAAGTCTATTAAATAATATAATTTCCAAAGGAAAGCAACAAGAGCCATGATTTCACAATACATTTGGTGGCGCTTTTTAAGTATTAAAAAATCTAGAGACGTAAACAGTTGGTAAGAATCAACAACACATTTTAGATTTGCAGAGGGGATTGATGAGGTGAAGAGTCTGTGGCAGTAGCTTGACTGTCGGTCCTCAAAGATGAAACTGCATTGAATCGAATGAATCATTTCCAAATGACTTTGGCTATGTCCCAAATGGCACCCTATTCCCTATATAGTGCACCACTTTTATTGGGACCTGGTCCAAAGTAGTGCACTATAAAAAGGAATAGGCTCAGTCTTTATATTATTAGTGTTGATGTGCCAGTGTATAAGCAAGAGTTGTACTAACCAATCCCATGCCAGCCTTGTAGATCGGCGACAGCGATAGGTCGGCACACTTCACTTCCCATACTTGCACGGCATCGAGCCACACGTCGGGCTCAGTTGATTGGTCCACACGGTAATAGGGGCGGGGCTTGGGCAAAATATGCTCCTGGAAAAGACAACGCCTTCATAGTTAATTGGATCTAAAGACTTTTGGCAGCTTTGCAACAGAAACTCTGGGCTTTGCTTCACAAACGAGAATAGAACACAGCAACGGTCTCTGTATTGTACCTTTAAGAATTTGTAATGCTGCTCCAAATCTTCATCCTTGAAACCTGTCCCAATCTGCAAAGACAAAAGAAGCAGAACAATATTCCCCCGGGGTAAACCAGATGAGACCTTTAGCAAAGTAGAATAACAGAACTCCCTGCGCTAATTGGCCCGAGGCGCTGTCACTTTTCAAAACAGACAAACCAGCAGAGACGGAGAGGAAAAAGTAACCTCGCAGGCAAGGCAGGCAGACCGGTAGACACGCGCAGACTTACGCACGAACAGACACACAGCCCACACAAAGAAACACCCCCCCTCCCTCCGACCTTGCAGACTGACTGGAACTCTTCGTTGTCCTCGTCGTAGCATGCGAGCAGAAAGCCTCCGTAGGTCCCGGTTCTCTTGCCCTTCCCCAGATACGCTCCGATCACACACAGATCCATTGTGTCCCCCACGCCATCCAGATAGTCCTTTTTCAGCTACACAGAGAGATAGGAAATATTTATAGAAGACGTATAAGAACTGTGTTTGTTTGCTGCGCCACTATATATATATATATATTTATTTATTTATTTAAAGGTAAACATACACTACCAGTAAAAAGTTTGGACACACTTACTCGTTCAAGGGTTTTTCTTTATTTTATTTTTACATTGTAGAATAATAGTGAAGACATCAAAACTATGAAATAACACATATGGAATCATGTAGTAACCAAAAAAGTGTTAAACAAATCAAAATATATTTTATATTTGAGATTCTTCAAATAGCCACCCTTTGCCTTGATGACAGCTTTGCACACTGTTGGCATTCTCTCAACCAGCTTAATGAGGTAGTCACATGGAATGCATTTCAATTAACAGGTGTGCCTTCTTAAAAGTTAATTTGTGGAATTTCTTTCCTTCTTAATGCGTTTGAGCCAATCAGTTGTGTTGTGACAACGTAGGGGTGGTATACAGAAGATAGCCCTATTTGGTAAAAGACCAAGTCCATATTATGGCAAGAACAGCTCAAATAAGCAAAGAGAAACGACAGTCCATCATTACTTTAAGATATGAAGGTCAGTCAATATGGAAAATGTCAAGGACTTTGAAAGTTTCTTCAAGTGCAGTCGCAAAAACCATCAAACTGGCTCTCATGAGGACCACCACAGGATGGAAGACCCAGAGTTACCTCTGCTGCAGAGGATAAGTTCATTAGTTACCATTCTCAGAAATTGCAGCCCAAATAAATGCTTCACAGAGTTCAAGTCACAGACACATCTCAACATCAACTGTTCAGAGGCGTCAATGAGAATCAGGCCTTCATGGTCGAATTGCTGCAAAGAAACCACTACTAAAGGACACCAATAAGAAGAAGAGACCTGCTTGAGCCAGGAAACACGAGCAATGGACATTAGACCGGTGGAAATCTGTCCTTTGGCCAGGAGTCCAAATTGGAAATGTTTGGTTCCAACCACCGTGTCTTTGTGAGACGCAGTGTAGGTGAACGGATGATCTCCGCATGTGTAGTACCCACCGTGAAGCATGGAGGAGGTGGTGTTATGGTGGGGGGTGCTTTGCTGGTGACACCGTGATTTATTTAGAATTCAAGGCACACTTAACCAGCATGGCTACCACAGCATTCTGCAGCGATACGCCATCCCATCTGGTTTGCGCTTAGTGGGACTATCATTTGTTTTTCAACAGGACAATGACCCAACACACCTCCAGGCTGTGTAAGGGCTATTTTACCAAGAAGGAGAGTGATGAGAGTGCTGCATCAGATGACCTGGCCTCCACAATCCCCCGACCTCAACCCAATTGAGAGGGTTTGGGATGAGTTGGACCGCACAGTGAAGGAAAAGCAGCCAACAAGTGCTAAGCATATGTGGGAACTCCTTCAAGACTGTTGGAAAAGCATTCCAGGTGAAGCTGGTTGAGAGAATGCCAACAGTGTGCAAAGCTGTCATCAAGGCAAAGGGTGGCTATTTGAAGAACCTCAAATATAAAATACATTTTGATTTGTTTAATACTTTTTTGGTTACTACATTATTCCATATGTGTTATTTCATAGTTTCGATGTCTTCACTATTATCCTACAATGTAGAAAATAGTTAAAATAAAGAAAAACCCTTGAACGAGTAGGTGTGTCCAAACTTTTGACTGGTACTGTATATTAATTTTATTTGTTATCATAGAATGCCATTTGTTGCTCTAGATAGCAGGAAATGGCAGTTAACGATGTTAAAAAACGCAATAATCTGAGTCCTAAGGGGGGCACTACCCCCGTGGAGGCTTCCGCCCCGCTGTACTCAGTAGCACCACCTTGCTAAATCCTGGGGAGTGTGTCTGTACCTTGAGCCAGTTGTGAGAGCGCTTGGCGATTTCATACGTGGCATCTTTCTCCAGAGTCTTCACCATGAGTCCCTCGCAGGAGTCTGATGAAATGATGAACCCAGAATAACATACAGAAACAACATTTACAGTGCACCCAAAATTTGGCAACCTGTTCCCTATATAGTGCACTACTTTTGGCGAGGGCCCATAGAAACATAACATTTAGTATGTGTCCCAAATAATTCAACTACAATGTGCTGTCTAACATTTAAAAAATATTACTTAGGTGACATCGTCTGCTGAACCCAATTTCTGCCTGAAAACAGTCTGAATTAATCTAAGCTAAAACAATACATATGTCAATAATATTTTTGGTGAGGAAGTCTTAGTCACCCCACTTTACATCTAGCGAAGGGTTTTTGTGCTTCACCGAGCAGCATGTCTGAAGTTTGACAATGGGCACGAAAGCTAGCATAAATGTCCAACATTAGCTTGCTGAACCAGTCCCTGAAACGATGCTGCTAACCAACCAACTTAGTGATGCACACACAATGTTGAATGCTTCCAACAACAGCTAGCTAGCTAGCAAGCTACTTTAGTAGCGCTGACGCTCACATTATTATGAGTTTTCATGAAGTAGCTGCTGTGCTCAGCTGACCCAACCATTCAGAGTAACATTAGGGATCGCAGAGAAACATGCTGATCTACGGACTGATTTCTGATGACAGTCCCTCTTAGATTTTGGGGCTGCATGTCTACAACTTCATGGTAATTTAAACAAGTTAAGCAAGCTTTTAATGTCAGTAAAGGTAGAGCTAGCTTACCATGTCAGTAAGACGGATAGCCACAACAGCTAAGCAGCTGATTTAGTCACTACACTGGCGACCGACGTCTTTGCACAATTCTTGCAGGCGATAGCCACCGCTTTGTTTTAATTTTCTCAAACTATTAAATAGGTCACAACATTTGTATTACTTTAGCTAGTTATTCTGCCTATTTCATGGAGTCGTTCAAGAGCGCAGTGATATCAAAAATTAGGAACTATCTTTTCATTTTTCAATGGCGGATGCCTGGGAATCCCAAAATATTAGGATGAGTTTGACGTCCTACAAGACAAATTGGTTGAGGACGAGCGTTACGTAGGAGTGACGCCATCTGACGTAAAACAATGACAATTCCCGTTCTGCCTCGAATTAGACCTTTTGGGGAAAAATTATATAGGGAAGGGTTTACCTATAATGCACTTTTTTTTCTTCTTCAAACTTGTATTTTTTAATGGAGTGGGGCAGTCCCACTCCTCACATATGTTTTGTTTATTGTACAGGATAGAGAGAGCTAGAGAGGACTGCCCCACTCCTGCTGCAATGGTATATGTGATCCGGAGGCAGCAGCTTAGACCGCTAGACCTTCCTTGGCAACAACAGTGCATTACTTTTGACCAGGGACCATAGATAGGGCTCTGGTCAAAAGTAATGCACTATATAGGGAATAGGTGCCAAATTAGGGGCCACAGCCCCTAACACTTTTTTTTATGATGGCGGCAACCAACTCTCCCCAACTTACAACTCGACGTCCACTAACGCAATGGTATGAGGAGAGGATTGACTAACAGTGACCTCAACATTGATATCCTGGACAGGGCCGATTTCTGGCTCACCATTAGGGAACCATGGAGCACAACCCAGAATGAAAAAAAGGGACAAGGACCAGAAGACATTATTATTTTCCAAAACTTGTATTTACTATCTTTTGGCTCCAACCCCCATATGAAGCCTAGAAAAGAGAAGCACAAGGAGAACACATTATGAACAGAGGACCGGAAGCAGAGAAACAGAAGAGAGACTCGGAAGAGCGGAGGAGAGGACCAAAAGGGGCCCAAAAGTAGAGCTCAAGGAAAGGGAAAGGAGAAAACGACACCCAGAGAGAGAGAGACGAAGAGAGACCAGAAGAGAGACCACCCAAAGAAGAGAGAACAACCCAGAGAAGAGAGAAACACCGAGCAAGAAGAGACCCCAAAGAGAGAGAGAGAAGAGAACCAAGGAAAGAACAGAGAGACACGATTAGATGAGGGATAGCACCAGAGAGAGAGACACCCCAAGGAGAGGAAGAGAGACACCCAGAAGAGGGGAAACCCCAGGAGAGGAGTAGACAACCAGAGGAGATGGCAAAACAAACCCTCCAATAGGAAGAACCCCATCCTAATGAGATGAGAGACAAAACACCAGTAGAGAGAGAAGAACGAGAGACACCAGAGAGAGAGAGACCCCGAAGAGAAGACCATAGAGAGAACCCAGAGAAGAGGGAAAGGGGACACCCAAGAAGATAGATAGAAACAACCATTATAGGAGTAGAGCAGACCCAAGAGTGAGACCCGAGATGAGAGAAGGCACCAAGGAAAACCAGAGAGCAGATTAGAGCAGAACCCAGAAGGGAAGAGATAGACAGCAACAGAAGGGAGAGAGAGAGCACCAGACAGGAAGAAGAAGAGAACCCTAAGAACTAAAAAGAGAGAAAACCCAGAGAGAGAGTGACAACCCAGAAGAAGAGCCCACACCAAGGGAGAGAGAGAGGAGACCCAAGAGAGACGCAACGACACAAAAGAGAGAGAGAGAGAGGAACCCAGAGAAAGAGACCAGAGAGGAGACAACCCAGAGAGAGAGAGAGACAGAGGAGAAGAGAAAAACCCAGAGAGAGGAGAGAGAGAACCCAGGGAGGAGGAGAGACAACCCAGAGAGGAGAGAGAGAGAACCCAGAAGATAGACCCAGATAGAGAGAAGAGACCCGAGAGAAGAAGAGAAAGAGAGGGAGAGAGAACCCAAAGAAGAGAGAAATACGAAGAGAGAGAAACCCAGAAGAGAAAAGAACCCGAGAGAGAGAAGAAAAAAACACACAGATATAAAAACCTCAAGAAAAAGATAACCCAGAGAGAGTGAGAGAAGACAGAACCCCAGAGAGAGAGAGAGAGAGAGAGACCCCAGAGAGAGAGCAGAAAAGAGAGACCCGAGAGAGGGAAAGAACCCAAGAAGAAAAGAGAGACCCAGAGAAGAGAGATAGAGAAGACCCAGAGAGAGAGAGAGACCAAGAGAGAGAAAAAAGAGAGAGCACCCAGAGAAGAGAGAGAAGAGAACCCAAGAGAGAGGAGAGAGGAGACACCCAGAGAGGAGAGAGAGAGAGAACCCAAGAGAGAGATAGAGACCACAACCGAGATAGAGAGAGACCCAGAGAGATAGAGGAGAGAAGACGAACACCCAGTAAAAGATGAGAGAGAGAGAGCAACCCCCCCAGAGAGGGAGAGATAGACCCCCGCAGAGAGAGAGAGATCCCCAACCCAGAGAGAGAGACACAGAAGGAGAGAGAGAACCCCAGAGAGAAAAGAGAGAGACCCAAGAGAGGAGAGATGAGACCCAGAGAGAGAGAGAAGCAAGACCCCCAGAGAGAGAAGAGAGAGACCCCAGATAGGGGAAGAGAGAGAACCCAGAGGAAGAGAAAAGACGGGAAGACCCCTAGAGATAGAGAGAGATACCCAGAGAGAGACGAGAGACCCAGAAGAGAGAGCACAAGAACCCAGAGAGAGAGAGAGAGAAAACCCCCAGAGGGGGAGAGAAGAGACAAAACCCAGAGAGGGAGAGAGAGACCAGAGAACAGAGAGAGGAGAGAGACAAAAACCCAGAGAGAGAGAGAGAGAGAATAGAAACACCCAGAGAGGGAGAGAGAGAGACCCCAGAGAGGAGATAGAGACCCCCATAGAGAGGAGAAGAGAGAAAAACCCATGCAGAAGAAGACAGCAGATAGTATAGAGAGACACCCAGAGAGGGAGAGAGAGAGACACCCAGAGAGGAGAGAGAGAACACCCAGAGAGAGGAGAGAGAGACACCCAAAGAGAGGGATAGGAGAGAGACACCCAAACGAGGGAGAGGAGAGAGAAAACCCAGAGAGGGAGAGAGAGAGACACCCAGAGAGGGAAGAGAGAGAAACCCCAGAGAGGAAGAGAGAGACACCCAGAGAGGGAGAGAGATCACCCAGAGAGGGAGAGAGACACCCAGAGAGGAAGAGAGACACCCAGAGAGGGAGGAGAGAGACACCCAGAGAGGGAGGGAGAGAGACACCCAGAGAGGGAAGGGAGAGAGAGACCCAGAGAGGGAGGGAGAGAGAGACCCAGAGAGGGAGGGAGAGAGAGACCCAGAGAGGGAGGGAGAGAGACACCCAGAGAGAAGAGGGACACCCAGAGAGAGAGAAAGAGAGACCCGGAGAGAGAGAAAGAGACCCAGAGAGAGAGAGAGACCCAGAGAGAGAGAGAGACCCAGAGAGACACACTATTACCACCAATGAAGTTACAAACATAACAATCCATGTTTAATTAATCAACGTCCCATTTAGCACCCTATTCTCTATGTAGGGCACTACTCTGGACCAGAAACCTATGGGCCTTGTTCAAAAGTAGTGCACTAAATTAGGGAATAGGGCCCTGGTCAAAAGTAGTGCACTAAATTAGGGAATAGGGCCCTGGTCAAAAGTAGTGCACTAAATTAGGGAATAGGGCCCTGGTCAAAAGTAGTGCACTAAATTAGGAAATAGGGCTCAAAAGTAGTGCACTAAATTAGGGAAAGTGTCCATGTCTAACCGACCCGATAATTCCCATTGTCATCCACTCACCTCTCCATTGAGATACAGAAGGTCGAAGGCATACACACACACTTGGACCTTGATATCAGCTGCATCCACATCCTGCAGAACATACAGCACAGATCACTCAACACCATCACCTACCCACCCACCACAGTAAAAGATCACTCAAACCTAGATCTTTTGGTCCCTGTACTCAGTATATTGTCACAATGAGAGTGCTATTCCGGGGGGGAGGTCGAACCAAAACCAGACCGGTCGAGGGGTTAGACAAAGAAGTCCACCTCTTGATCATAGAGCCTGGTAGGAAAACGATCTATGACCACCTGGGCTAATCACCCATCCAGCTGTTATGAAAATGATTAGAGAAACTGAAACCATGGATACTCAGCAGGAGGCACCCTCATTTCTTTCCTGTCACCTTTCTCTTCCGTGTGGTTAAAACCTGGAATGGTTGGATCTGTTGCTTCTCTCTGTCCCAAGCTACTGCCTCAGAGTCCAACACACAGGATACCACCGACTGCTTCTTTACCTGAGAGACAGAGAGAGAGACAAAGATGGAAAGAGAGAAAGACAGAGAGAGAGAGAGAGAGAGATACAGAGAGACAGATGGAAAGAGAGAGAGAGACATAGGGAATGAGATGGAAAGAGAGAGATAGAAAGAGAGAGACAGAGAGGGAGAGAGACAGAGAGGGAGAGAGACAGAGGGAGAGAGACAGAGAGGGAGAGAGAGAGAGACAGAGAGAGAGACAGAGAGGGAGAGAGAGAGAGACAGAGAGGGAGAGAGAGAGAGGGAGACAGAGAGGGACAGAGAGGGAGAGAGACAGAGAGGGAGAGATATGGAAAGAGAGAGAGACGGAAAGAGAGAGAGACAGAGATAATGGTATTATTCATACAGTGTGAAATGTGCTTATGTCCATGATAAAGGGGCTAAGATGCTCTCTGAGTTTGTCCCAAATGGTCCCCTATTCTCTATGTAGTGTACTCTGGACAATGGTAGTGCACTATATAGGGAATAGGTTGTCATTTGGGATGCACATTGAGTGTGCTAGTGTTGAGAGGGTCATTGTTACCGTAGGAATGCGAGAGATGATGTCAGGATATTTGGTTGTATTATCCTCCTGGTTGCGACTGAAAATACGCACTTCTCCGTTCTCCAAGATATGGATCTGCACAGTACATACAACTATCATTAGATGCCATTCAACCATTCAACAGTGAGTTTCCTATTGTATGTAGAGAGCAGAGCTGTGTGGCTCAGTTGGTAGAGCACGGCACTTAAAGACGCCAGGATAGTCGGTTCAATTCCCGCAGGGGCCACTGACACGAAAACGTATGCACACGCTACTGTACGTAGCTTTGAATAAGCATCTGCTAACCGTCATAATACATGTTATATTAGACAGAAACATGCAGGGTCCAACTGTAAAGATGGAACACAAGCTCCACGAGCCAGATGCACGTTAGAGCGCCATCTGGTGGCCATTTCAGGAGTCAGACAGCAGCTTAAATGGCCCAGAGGACGACACGTCACACAGGTCTCTGCAGCCTCCACTGGGAGGGCCTCGCATGGCTCTCTACAGCCGGAGGCACGATAGCATCATGTCTGCTTCCTAACCAGGACACACACACGGATGTAAGAATCATGAAGCTGACATAGGTACAGTACACACAAACGTGACCACGCACACACACACACCTGTGCTCGTTCTCCGTCATACTTGTACTCGCAGGTGAAGGCGGCTTCATCGAACCTCTTCATCACCTCTCCTACACCTTTGGTGGGGTGAGCCAGCATGGGCCTCAGCGGTACACCTGAGGAAGAGGGAGGGGTCAGAAATACCACACTGAAACAATAACACTCTTTCCCCCACACACACACAGTACCATAATCCAGTCGTGAATGGCTGTCATTTTCCCCTGCTTGAAGTGCATTGGGATTCTTTGTGTAATGAAAGCGCTATAAAAGTGAAATAAATTATTATTATTATTACCTGGAGTGAGTTTGCAGTGGTTGGGTAGTTCATCAATCCCCTCCTTCAGAATGACTGGGATGATGACATCATAGTTGGGCATCTCACTTGATGGGATAAAACAGAACTAAACCAGTAAGAAAATCTAATTCACATTTGTCCCAAATGGCACTACATTCCCTGCATAGTGCACTACATTGTGCAGAACCATATGGGCCCTGGTCAAAAGTAGTGCACTATATAGTGAATAGGGTGCCATTTGGGACTCTCCCAGTCAGAGTAATGAACACACTGACTCTAGCTGTATTTAGCAGGTTAGTACCAGTAAGTCTGTTTGAGGATAAGGCTTTTCTCTTCTATCCAAGCTTTCTGTTTTTCTGCACTCATTCCTTTCCCAGCGTCAATCACCGCCGGAGGGAAGTCTGGAATAAACATACAAACGTCTCAGTTGCATCAAAGGCAGACAATGATAATAATAATAATAATAATAATATGCCATTTAGCAGACGCTTTTATCCAAAGCGACTTACAGTCGTACAGTCGTGTATGCAGGGGTTACGTTGTGAAAAAACATGGTGATAATGTTGGGGGCACTGTTGTGAAAATGCCGTGACGATGTTGTGGTAATGTGAAAGTGATATTGAAGTAATGTTGTGAAAATGTTGGGGGTAATTTTGTGATAGTATTGTGAGAATGTGTCAAAAACTTTGAGGTAACATTGTGAAAACGTGATAAAGTTGGGAGGTAATGTTGTATAAACATTGTGATAACGTTGTGAAAATGTTGTAATAACGTTGGCTGGCAAACCTTGTCCCGGAGGAGTCAGACACACTGCCTGACTCAGGGCAGCCAGTACACTCTGTTCAGCCAAGCCAATCCTCAGCTTCCCTGCCAGCGACCTGTCAATCAATCAATCAATTAATCAACCAATCAACCAATCCAGACATGCATTGATGATGTCCTGCTTTTTGTCTGATGTTGTGCATGTACTGGTGTAGCCGGTAAACAAACATTATTAAGTACTATCTTCATAGAATTACATATTAGAATTCCTAATTTAACAGGATCTCTGTGACCATCTTATTTGAATCCATTAACGTACTGACCAGCGGGGTGACTACTTATGAATAGGCAGGCAGGCATGCTCAACTATATCATCTTGTGTAAACCAATAACAGGTGCCAGGAAGCAAAAAATCTATCACATATAAAATGAACAAAGGGCCAGAACTCAGTGAGTGCAGAAAGACAGGTCTTAAGTACGTCCAAAATGGCACCCACCCTGTTCCTCTTTTAGTGCATTTATGGCCAATAAGGCTCAGGTCAAAAGTATTGCATTATATAGGGAATAGGGTTCTATTGAGGAGACATCATCAGTTTGACCAGTTGTAAAGTGAAGGAAGTGAGGCACCATTACCTGACTATGTATCTGGCTTCAGAGAAACGGCAGGCTACAAAAAGACCTTTGATGATGTCAATCTTCTTATTCATGGCCTGCAGGCAGAGGGAGGGAGAGAGGAGGGAGGAGGAGGAGGGGAACAGAGAGAGGAGAAGGAGAGGAAGAAGGAGATACGGAGAGGGCCCCGAGGGGACCCTTTTGAATCAATTCAATAAATTTCAACCCCCGACGCATTTTTCCCTTTTTTTTTGGGGGTGTTTTGACGGTTGGGAAAAACAAACTTTAAAGTTTTTGGTTCATTTTTAAAATCCAAATTTAAAACAATCCCCAAATAGAACCTTTAAAAGATACCAGGGGGGGCTATTGGAAAAACGACAACTTTTTTAATCTTTTAATTTAAAAAAGGTCCAAAAAAAAATAACAAAAAAAAAAAAAGGGGCGGAAAAAAAGGACCAAAAAAGCCCAATCAAAAACCCCCTTTTTTCCCTTTGGCCAAAAGTTAAAAAAAGGGCAAAAGGGAAAATGGGGTTAGAAAAAGAAAATCTATTCCGGGAAAGGAAAAGCACACCTTCCTGATTTTATTGGTTTAAGAAACGGGGGAAAAAAAAAAAAGGGGGGGAGAGAGAGAGAGGCAGAGAGCGAGAGAGAGCGAGCGAGAAATTAAAGGAATTAATGTATTTTCATCAAATTCTAGACTGATTACAAATCAATTCATCATCCTATTCCCATCATCCTATTCTCAGTGAATTTATCAAAACGATTTGAGAATTTTAAATGTGTTAAACTCTCCCTCACACACACTCACAGAGTTCCCACTCATGTTCCCGATGTCTTTCAGTTTGTTGAACACACCCCCTGCAATCAGATTGGCTGGCTGGAACATAATTCTCTGGTTGTTACGGGAACTCTCAGCCACCAACCCCAAGTCCCCCTTCTCTGCAGCCTCCGCCTTGATTTTGTCCAACTGTCGCCCTGGCAACAAGAATAACAGTGTGAGAGATTCCTAAACCCAAAAGCAAAAGAAGAGAATTAATAACTAACAACAAAGCTGTGTGTGTGTGTGTGTACGCCGCCTTACCAGTTGCTTGGGCGACAGCCTTCATCAGTACAGTTTCTCCCACTCCCAGCTCCAGCCCCTTGTAAGCAGGACCCAGCTGATTGAGACACAGGTAGACGCAGCACAACAGGTCCTCTGAGGAAGAACAGCAAGAGACAAAACTCAGCACACTCCGTCTACACTCTTTCTGCATCCCAAATGGGGCACACTATTCCCTATATAACGTACTACTTTTGACAAGGGCCCATAGGGAATCAGGTGGCATTTGGGACATATCCAGGGTATTTCACAGCGTTCACTTACAGATATTATCGTGCCGTAAGGGGTCTGGTCAAAAGTAGAGCACTAAATAGGGAATATTAGGATGCAATTTGGGACGCACCCCACCTGACGCATCTCAAGACGTTCATATCCTGCACCTGGGCTCACACAGCCATATCTAATGTAGTGGTAGTCAGCTCCACATGTACACACACTAGGGGAAAAACTAAAAAGCTATTTTACCTGGAGAGAGGACGATCACAGAGCGTAGGAGATTTGATAATGTTTCGATGTTCCTCAATCTAGCAAAAAATGTATGCAATTAGTATGTAAAACAATGTAAAAAGGGAAGATTATTATGCTACAATAAACCCAGGCTGTCCCAAATGGCACCCCCATTCCCTACGTAGTGCACTACTTTTTACCTGAGCCCTATGGGCCCTGTTCAAAAGTAGTGCCGTACATAGGGAATAGGGTGCCATTTGGGACTCACCCAAGAACGAACAGTCACGACTTGGGAGGTATATTGAAATATCTTACCTGCCAGAATCTTCCTCAATCTTTTCAAAGGTGCGTGCAACAGCCAAATACGGGACCCTGCGTGGGAGAAAATTAGTCAAAGCATTGATAACAACTCCATTGAGAAATGTATCAAAACAACTCAACAGTATCAAAACAACTCAATTGAGACAGACTTATTCACAGTATCAAAACATTGAAAACATTCAGTGCAGGCTGGAATTCATTAGCACACACCGTAGCAAAACCATTTTGGAACAGGAAATGAAAACAAGTGTTTCTTATTGGTCAAGTTCAGGTAGCCCCTCTCCGTTTCAGCCCGTTTGGTTTCTAGTGAATAGGAACCAGGTTGAGGTATACAGCTGAGTCGTGTGGCTAGAGATGGGCAATACGGACAAAAATCCACATCGCGACAAATTGACTGAATTTGATCACGATAACGATAAATTGTAAAGTGGTTATCCCACTGGCTATAGGGTGAACGCACCAATTGGTGAGTCGCTCTGGATAAGAGCGTCTGCTAAATGACGTAAATGTGCCCTTGAGCAAGGCACTTAACCCTAATTGCTCCTGTAAGTCGCTCTGGATAAGAGCGTCTGCTAAATGACTAAAATGTAAATGTAAAATGTAATCAGTGTCGATCATTTCCAGTTTATCGTCCCAGCTCTAGCTGTGATAAGGGGGTTGGATGTACCTCTGTCCCCGCCCCCAGCAGGCGTGGTCTACTGGGTGGTAGTTGGGTCTGGATGGGTCATACTGGGCCTGGTCCGTCTTCTCTCTGGTGGTCAAAGGTCAAAACCACTCACATTAATACAATATACTGCACTATTCAACTCACTGGAGAAAACATCCAGAACTGTACACATGTACAGCTACTCCTTCAAAGAGATAGGCCATGTCTCGATACTCCGCCGTTCTTCACCTGCACACTCAGTGATAGATTTAAAAGCAATGGATTATTGTAATCACTGGCTAGAGGGAGATTGCACCATTGACCAGAGTGCCAATTTTGGGAACAGGGTGGAGAATGGGATGTAGCCTTGGTGTAAATTAAACACTTTCATAGTCATCTGTGATTCTCTCTTACCCTTTCTCTTTAACGTCGTCAGTGGTACGGGCCACCTTCGCCCCCTCCTTTATATTCTCCCCGCTCTTCTTTCTGTCTCCCTCACTCTCCTCCTTCCTGTCTCCCTCGCTCTCCTCCTTTCTGTCTCCCTCGCTCTTCTCCTTTCTGTCTCCCTCGCTCTTCTCCTTTCTGTCTCCCTCGCTCTTCTCCTCTGGTCTCTCCATCTTTACAGCAGCCTTCCTGGGAGCTAGATAACAGAGAAGAAACCAACATTCAGACTTCAAGAGTTTGGAGCATAATGTTTATCAAACAAGCAAAGGATTTTACATTTCCTTGTTCCACTGCCATCTCTGCAGTTTACAAGTCTCTTACACTCCTTCAGATTTCTTCCAAACTTCCCAAAACAAATGTAGGTTGAATCCCAAATGGCACCCTATTCTTATGCCATCTGAGAAGCACTGTTACACTCTTTCAGGTTTCTTCTAAACAAACTGCAGAAAGCCAACTCATTCATAGAGATGTTCCTGTGCAAGGGAGGAAGTAAGTGGGGAAAAACCTCACCAAAGAAACTGCTGATGGTGGGGGCTTTTTTGGCTTGGGGGCTTTCTGACACTTTCATTTCTTTCTCCTCCTTTACTGCCTTCCTTTCATTTTTAGGACTTTCCTTTTCTTCCTTTACAGCCTTTTGACCCTTAGGACTTCTCTCTTTAGCGTTTTGACCCTTAGGACTTTTTCCTTTAGCCTCTTGACCCTTAGGACTTCTCTCTTTAGCGTTTTGACCCTTAGGACTTTTTCCTTTAGCCTCTTGACCCTTAGGACTTCTCTCTTTAGCGTTTTGACCCTTAGGACTTTTTCCTTTAGCCTCTTGACCCTTAGGACTTCTCTCTTTAGCGTTTTGACCCTTAGGACTTTTTCCTTTAGCCTCTTGACCCTTAGGACTTCTCTCTTTAGCCTCTTCACTTTTAGGACTTTTTCCCTCCTCCTCCGTCTCTTTCACATCAAGTGCTTTTTCCTTCTCTCCATCTTTGGTCTTCTCTTCATCGATCTCTTTCTGCTCTGGGTTGTTCTGCACCACCTCAGGCTTATCCACACTGTTCTCCTCTCCTCCCACCTCCATCGCTTCCTCTTCATTCTCTACAGAGAGAAAGAGAAATGGAGTGATGCAACAGAAGAGAGAAGGGGTAGGAAGGAACACTTGTAATGGAGGGAAACCTTACCGGTGCTCCCCTGTGTTTCCTCAACCTTTGCTCTTTTATTCTGCTGTTCTGGTTCTTCCTTCACCTCTTCCTCCTCCTTGTCACTGCCACTCCTGCTGTCCAGCTTTCTCTTGGGGAACTGCTTCCTCGCTACAGAGATGATAGAAACACAACTAGTTAGAGATGCATCACTACTCTACAGAGATGATAGAAACACAACTAGTTAGAGATGCATCACTACTCTACAGAGATGATAGAAACACAACTAGTTAGAGATGCATCACTAGTGAACACATTTATGTGGAATTAATACAATTGATGTAGTCCTTAGAAATATATTTTCTGTTCTCTGTGCATTCCTTTTTTCAAACAACTTGTGTCTTTTCTTTCTGTAATCATTGAATAATTCCCACGCACCTGCAACAAGTAAACCCTGATATGCGAATGCTTTTTTCCTATTTTCAAACATCTTTTAAATGCAGGCTGCATTAAATAACAGCCAACGTAGTTAACCGTGTGTTAGTAGAGGCTGTTGGACTTGTACAGCTAGAGACTGACCGGTGCGGCGTTTGGGAATTCCGGAGGGTGAGATGGAAGTGGGGGTGTCAGGGGTTCCAGTGGTGGCGGAGGTGGCTGGGTTCACTGGAGTGCCGGCTGGGGTCACTGGAGGGGCGGCTGGGGTCACTGGAGGGGCGGCTGGGGTCACTGGAGGGGCGGCTGGGGTCACTGGAGTGGCTGGAGTAACAGGGGTGGTGGGGGCAGCGGGGGACAGTGGGGTGGTAACAGCCTTGTATACTTCATCCTGTGGGGGAGAAACAAAGTTCAGATCTATATGCACAAACATCGTGGGTCACAAATGGCCACCATTTCCTAGATTTGTATTTGTTTACCCAGGTTCAGTTTCATTTAGGTCAAATCTGTTTTTCAAGCGAGACCTGGTCAAGACAGCCTCCCCTGCAATGTATTGGAAATATGGTGCCATTTGGGATGCAAACTCAGTCACATCTTTATGTACACCCACACCCCCCCCCCCCTTTGGCTTTACAGTGTTTAAAATGGTAAAGACCAGTGCAGAGTAGGGCGGTATCCAGATTTTCATACCGTCATAGTGTTCCTGTACCATACCGGGGTATTCAGTATTACCGGCAGTACACACAAGGGCAGCATTTTTTATTTTATAGTGTTGTTTTGACGCACAAATCTAATTTAGGCAGCAGGAATCTTGATCCAGGAGGGGATGGAATGTCTGCTGTAACCAAGAAGCTTGATCTTGACATCTAGCCACTTTGCTAGCAAGTTAGCAAACCAAATGCAAAGCTGGAGCCCTGAGCTGGAGATAATTTATTTGGCACATCTTAGATAGTGAACTTAGTTATAAGCAGTGTTGATGGTATTGAAAATCATACCGTCGGTACCCCGGTACCCAGCCCAAGCCTACTGCAGAGTATGCAAATAATTCCTGAGTCCCAAATTGCACCCTATTTCCTATAGTGTGCTACTTTTGACCAGGGTCCATAGGGCTCTGGTCAAAACTAGTGTACTGTGTAGGGAATAGGGTACCATTTGGGATGGATCCAATGTCCTGATTAGAGCTTGTTTACGTAGAGGAGGATGTGAGGTGGGAAATGTAAAACGCTACCTTGGGCTGAACAGTCTTGTCCCCTTGCTCCTGTTCTATTCTGGCTGGAGCCTCATCATCATCACTGTCCAAGATCTGACGACTGCGTTTAGTGAACTTCTTTACTGGCGAATCAGGCTCATTGTGGACCCCATTCTGAACTTTGAGAGGCCCTTTGACTGGTCTAGGATAGAACATAAAAAAGACATTATAGACAGACACTGCAAATACCTACTATTAGATCGTCCAATTGGTCATTCTACAGTCTGTTTGCTTTTGCTGTTGCTGATTGTTTTGCCATTCAGTCAAGTACTCTACCACAAACTCCATGGGTTATCAGTTTCCTGTATAGATAACTATACCCAGAGCCATGTATTTAACCTAAATATATGGCTCTGGCTACACCCGTGAAAACCCTGCCACCCTCACCCCCTGGCCTTAAACACTTACTCTGGTTTCTCCTTCACAGGTTTCTCCTTCACAGGTTTCTCCTTCACCGGTCCATCACTCTTTTCGCTCTCCTTTTCTTTGCCCGTTTTGGGCTGAAAGAAAGATCTTTAGGGCAAAAAAATGGTGAACAGACGTCAGAAACAAAACAAATATGTAGTTACTGTAAAGGCACATTTTACATTATGCATGACACAAACACGCTGAATTAAATGCTGTTGTGTCTCATGATTCGCTTTATATTAAGGCAGGTGTCAAGTAGAATTTTGAGACAGACACTAACGTTATATGATATTATCAACACAAAGTCCACGGGGGTTTGACCTGGTGTGTGTTGTTCACGTCTTTGCAACCACAAACAAGCCAACTAGCTAGTTTCAATGTACCTCAAGCTAGTTAGCTAGATGATCTGTAGCTGGCTAGCTAACTATCTAGCACCAAAGCACACAGGCTGAGTTGGCCAACATAGCTAGCTACAGTTAGCTACTTGGCTAGTGTTGCGGAGACTGACTGCCAGCAGAAACCAATACTAACTTTACTTACGATATGCTTCGCTGCATGCTGTCTTGCAGTTTTCTGATGTGGTAAATTGAATTGAAATGTAAATGACTGACTATACACTACAATTAAACTTGGTGTTCAACTAACAACACCAACATAAGGACATTACCCGCGCAGAAATGCGAATGAAACGTTCGGCGCCAAAATGACATCAAACGTTTCTCCAAGGGGGGGGAGTCATTGTTGTCAGTGTGATGATGAGCTAACGGCATCTATGATACTGCCGCCTGCTGGAGTGGAGTTATATTGCAGTAGTATGGCTCTGATCGTGATTATGTTTCACATTAGTCTTTCAGGCCTATGTTCTGATAACATCATTGTCCACAAAATGGAAATTTGCCTTTTGTCATGCAAAGAAAATGTGCCTTATAATGCAGCACAACAGTTTGACAACTGAAATATTTTATTGTCATACACAACAAGTACTTCTCTGTTGAAGATTGATGAGAAAGTTGTGTACTGTTCATGTCACAGGTTGTACTATTAAACCTATTTATTTCATGAAATGTTGAATAAGTAAAAGCACATGCAATATAAAAAAGAATAAATATCAAAGTACACTGTAAACTCTGCGACATTCATATACAATTCATCATACGTATCACACAACTGCAATTGTCCTGTTCTATTCCCCCTCAGGAGACTGAAAAGATTCGGCATGGGTCCTCAGATCCTCAAAATATTCTACAGCTGCACCATCGAGAGCATCCTGACTGGTTGCATCACCGCCTGCTATGGCAACTGCTTGGCCTCCGACCGCAAGGCACTACAGAGGGTAGTGCGTACGGCCCAGTACATCACTGGGGCCAAGCTTCCTGCCATCCAGGACCTCTATACCAGGCGGTGTCAGAGGAAGGCCCTCAAAATTGTCAAAGACTCCAGCCACCCTAGTCATAGACTGTTCTCTCTGCTACCGCACGGCAAGCGGTACCGGAGTGCCAAGTCTAGGTCCAAAAGACTTCTCAACAGCTTCTACCCCCAAGCCATAAGACTCCTGAACAGCTAATCATGGCTACCCGGACTATTTGCACTGCCCCCCCACCCCATCTTTTTACGCTGCTGCTACTGTGTATTATTTATGCATAGTCACTTTAACTCTACCCACATGTACATATTACTTCAACTACCTCAACTAGCCGGTGCCCCCGCACATTGACTCTGCACCGGTACCCCCCTGTATATATAGCCTCCCTACTGTTATTTTATTTTACTTCTGCTCTTTTTTTCTCAACACTTTTTTGTTGTTGTTTTATTTTACTTTTTTATTTAAAATAAATGCACTGTTGGTTAAGGGCTGTAAGTAAGCATTTCACCGTAATGTCTGCACCTGTTGTATTCGGCGCATGTGGCCAATACAATTTGATTTGATTTGATTTGATTTATACACAAATGGATGATCAAACAACCTCAGTAGTATCCCCACTCAATCTGTGAGGAACAATAATATTATAACATTCTCATTTCAATAATAGCTTTTTCAGATGTATTCTGAGGACAACTTAAAGAGAGCGAGAGTAAAAACTACAGACAAAGACATCCCAAACAATAGGACATCTATTATAATGTCAAAAGAGGAAAGGCTCTCCCTTGCATTTCTCCTCCTTCTCCTTCTCCTTCTCCTCCTCTTCCTCTTCCTCCCCTTCCTCTTCCTCTTCCTCTTCCTCCTCCTCCTCCTCCTCTTCCTCTTCCTCTTCCTCCTCCTTCTCCTTCTCCTTCTCCTTCTCCTTCTCCTTCTCCTCCTCCTCTTCCTCTTCCTCTTCCTCCCCTTCCCCTTCCTCCTCCTCCTCCTCCTCCTCCTCCTCTTCCGCTTCCTCCTCCTCTTCCTCCTCATCTTCCTCCTCCTCCTCCTCTTCCTCTTCCTCTTCCTCTTCCTCCTCCTCCTCCACTACTCTCCATCACCATTTCCCACTTTCCTTCCTCTCTCCTCCTCTGCTCCCACAAATAGTCAGTCAAATGTCTGCCCTGCTAGAGCTGCCCCGGTCAACTGCAAGTGCTGTTATTGTGAAGTGGAAATGTTTAGGAGCAACAACAGCTCAGTCGCAAAGTGCTGAAGCACGTAGCGTGTAAAAATCGCCTGTCCTCGGTTGCAACACACTACCGAGTTCCAAACTGCCTGTGGAAGCAATGTCAGCACAATAACTGTTCGTCGGGAGCTTCCTGAAATGGGTTTCCATGGCCGAGCAGCCACACACAAGCCTAAGATCACCATGCGCAATGCCAAGCGTCGGCCGGAGTGGTGTAAAGCTCGCCGCCATTGTACTCTGGAGCATTGGAAACACATTCTCTGGAGTGATGAATCATGCTTCACCATCTGGCAGTCCGACGGGTTTGGCGGATGCCAGAAGAACGTTACCTGCCCCAATGCATAGTGCCAACTATAAAGTTTGGTGGAGGAGGAATAACGGTCTGGGGCTGTTTTCGTGGTTCGGGCTAGGCCCCTTAGTTCCAGTAAATGAAAATCTTAATGCTACCGCATACAATGACATTCTAGACGATTCTGTGCTTCCAACTTTGTGGCAGCAGTTTGGGGAAGGCCCTTTCCTGTTTCAGCATGACAATGCGCCTGTGCACAAAGCGAGGTCCATACAGAAATGGTTTGTCGAGATCATTGTGGAAGAACTTGACTGGCCTGCACAGAGCCCTGACCTCAACCCCATCGAACACCTTTGGGATAAATTGGAACGCAGACTGCAAGTCAGGCCTAATCGCCCAACATCAGTGCCTGACCTCACTAATGGTCTTGTGGCTGAATGGAAGCAAGTCCCCGCAGCACAATGTTCCAACATCTAGTGGAAAGTCTTCCCAGATGAGTGGAGGTTGTTATAGCAGCAAAGGGGGGACCAACTCCTTATTAATGCCCATGATTTTGAAATGAGATGTTCGACAAGCAGGTGTCCACATACTTTTGGTCATGTAGTGTAAGTCTGGCTGCACATCTGACTGGCTGATTTACTGCAAATTGAGAAATGATGTGACTAAACTCAACAAAAAGAAGAAAAACTGTATTATGAAGCCAAGATCAATTATATAAAGAATGATGGGGGGAAAAAAACCGTTAAATGAAATTATGGGCAGAAAGACAAATTCAACTCCATCTCTCATCAAATCAGATGGCTTATTCATCACAAAACCATTTGATGTTGCCAATTATTTTAATGATTATTTCATTGGCAAAATGGGCAGACTTAGGCAGGAAATGCCAACAACGAACAGTGAGCCATCGTACTCATGCATAAAAAACAAATAATGAAAGAAAAGCATTGTAAGTTAGAATTTTGCAAAGTTAGTGTAGGAGAGGTGGAAAAATTATTGTTATCGATCAATAATGACAAACCTCCTGGTATTGACAATTTAGATGTGGTCCCATGTGGACCAGTATGAAAATGTATGCACTCACTACTGTAAGTGGCTCTGGATAAGAGCGTCTGCTAAACGACTAAAATGTAGATGGGAAGCTACTGAGGATGGTAGCTGACTCTATAGCCATGCCTATCTGTCATATATTTAATCTGAGCCTAGAGGAAAGTCTTTGTCCTCAGGCCTGGAGGGAAGCCAAAGTCATTCCGCTACCCAAGAGCGGCCTTTACTGGTCCTAACAGCAGACCTATCGGCTTGCTGCCAGCTCGTAGCAAACTGTTGGAGTAAAATGGTGTTTGACCAAATACAATGCTATTTCTCTGTAAACAAATTAACAACAGACTTTCAGCACGCTTATAGAGAAGGGCACTCAAAATGTACTGCACTGACACAAATGACTGATGATTGGTTGAAAGAAATTGATAATAAAAAGATTGTGGGAGCTGTACTGTTAGATTTTAGTGCAGCCTTTGATGTTATTGACCATAACCTGTTGTTGAGAAAACGTATCTGTTATGGCTTTTCAACCTCTGCCATATTGTGGATTCAGAGCTATCTATCTAATAGCATTCAGAGGGTTTTCTTTAATGGAAGCTACTCTAATGTCAAACATGTAAAGTGTGGTATACCGCAGGGCAGCTCTCTAGGCCCTCTACTATTTTCTATTTTTACCAATGACCTGCCACTGGCATTAATTAAAGCATGTGTGTCCATGTACCGTATGCTGATGATTCAACCATATACGCATCAGCAACCACAGCTAATGAAGTCACTGAAACCCTTAACAAAGAGTTGCAGTCTGTTTTGAAATGGGTGGCCAGTAATAAACTGGTCCTGAACATCTCTAAAACTCAGAGCATTGTATTTGGTACAAATCATTCCGTACGTTCTAGACCTCAGCTGAATCTGGTAATGAATGGTGTGGTTGTTGAACAAGTTGAGGAGACTAAATTACTTGGTGTTACCTTAGATTGTAAACTGTCATGGTTAAAACATATAGATTCAATGGTTGTAAAGATGGGGAGAGGTCTGTCCGTAATAAAGAGATGCTCTGCTTTTTTGACACCACACTCCACAAAGCAAGTCCTGCAGGCTCTAGTTTTATCTCATATTTATTATTGTCCAGTCATATGGTCAAGTGCTGCAAAGAAAAAAAAACTAGTTAAGCTGCAGCTGACTCAGAACAGAGCGGCACATCTTGCTCTTCATTGTAATCAGAGGGCTAATACTAATACTATGCATGCCAGTGTCTCTTAGCTGAGAGTTGAGGAAAGACTGACTGTGTCACTTCTTGTTTTTAGAAGAAACATTAAAGTGTTGAAAATTCAAAATTGTTTGCATAGTCAACTCACACACAGCACTGACACACACACTTACCCCACCAGACATGCCACCAGGGGTCTTTTCACAGTCCGCAGGTCCAGAACAAATTCAAGGAAACATACAGTATTATACAGAGCCATGAGTGCATGGAACTCCCTTCCATCTTACATAGCTCAAGTAAACAGCAAACCTGGTTTTAAAAAACAAATAAAGCAACACCTCATGTCATCACTCCTCTCCCCAATATGACCTACAGTGAGGGAAAAAAGTATTTGATCCCCTGCTGATTTTGTACGTTTGACCACTGACAAAGACATCAGTCTATAATTTTAATAGTAGGTTTATTTTAACAGTGAAAGACAGAATAACAACAAAAAAATACAGAAAAACGCATGTCAAAAATGTTATAAATTGATTAGCATTTTAATGAGGGAAATAAGTATTTGACCCCTCTGCAAAACATGACTTAGTACTTAGTGACAAAACCCTTGTTGGCAATCACAGAGGTCAGACGTTTCTTGTAGTTGGCCACCAGGTTTGCACACATCTCAGGAGGGATTTTGTCCCACTCCTCTTTGCAGATCTTCTCCAGGTCATTAAGGTTTCGAGGCTGACGTTTGGCAACTCAAACCTTCAGCTCCCTCCACAGATTTTCTATGGGATTAAGGTCTGGCTAGACTGGCTAGGCCACTCCAGGACCTTAATGTGCTTCTTCTTGAGCCACTCCTTTGTTGCCTTGGCCGTGTGTTTTGGGTCATTGTCATGCTGGAATACCCATCCACAACCCATTTTGAATGCCCTGGCTGAGGGAAGGAGGTTCTCACCCAAGATTTGATGGTACATCGTCCCTTTGATGCGGTGAAGTTGTCCTGTCCCCTTAGCAGAAAAACACCCCCAAAGCATAATGTTTCCACCTCCATGTTTGACGGTGGGGATGGTGTTCTTGGGGTCATATATAGGCAGCATTCCTCCTCCTCCAAACACGGCGAGTTGAGTTGATGCCAAAGACCTCCATTTTGGTATCATCAGACCACAACACTTTCACCCAGTTCTCCTCTGAATCATTCAGATGTTCATTGGCAAACTTCAGACGGGCCTGTATATGTGCTTTCTTGAGCAGGGGGACCTTGGGGGCGCTGCAGGATTTCAGTCCTTCACGGCGTAGTGTGTTACCAATTGTTTTCTTGGTGACTATGGTCCCAGCTGCCTTGAGATCATTGACAAGATCCTCCCGTGTAGTTCTGGGCTGATTCCTCACCGTTCTCATGATCATTGCAACTCCACGAGGTGAGACCTTGCATGGAGCCCCAGGCTGAGGGAGATTGACAGTTATTTTGTGTTTCTTCCATTTGCGAATAATCGCACCAACTGTTGTCACCTTCTCACCAAGCTGCTTGGCGATGGTCTTGTAGCCCATTCCAGCCTTGTGTAGGTCTACAATCTTGTCCCTGACATCCTTGGAGAGCTCTTTGGTCTTGGCCATGGTGGAGAGTTTGGAATCTGATTGATTGATTGCTTCTGTGGACAGGTGTCTTTTATACAGGTAACAAGCTGAGATTAGGAGCACTCCCTTTAAGAGTGTGCTCCTAATCTCAGCTTGTTACCTGTATAAAAGACACCTGGGAGCCAGAAATCTTTCTGATTGAGAGGGGGTCAAATACTTTGTCTGTAATGTATTTTTCGTTATGTGTCTGACCCCAGTAAGACTAGCTGTCACCATTGGCATCGGATAATGTGGATCCTAATAAATACAAAAAAAAACATCTCAGAGCAGGAGTGTTGACCTAGGATCAAATGAGCCTGAAATGAGCACTATGTAACGTCTAACACATTGAAGAAGGATATGATCAATCATCAATATGGTGGAGTGTGTTGTCATGATGGGAGGGTTGGGTTCTTCTTACCTCTGGCCTCCATGGGCCCTCCCCCTCCTCCACACAGTGGTACCCCTCCCTCAGGGTGGAGGAGGGAGAACGGGAGAGGGGCACTCTGGACCAGGTGGGAGTCAGAAAGTAAGAGGTGCATTTCAAAGCCCTACATCCTTATATGAGATGAGTGAGATAGTAGGAATAGGGTGCCATTTGGGATGTACACCTTGAGATAAACAGGGGACCTGGTGACAAGGTGGGTACCCTTGGTAGTTGACCAGGATCAGTTTACTGAAGTTAGACTTGTAGGTGAATCTCCCCACTGGGCACAGACGTCAATTCAACATCTATTCCACATTGTATCACCGTAATTTCATTGAAATAATTCGGAAACAACGTTGATTCAGCCAGTGTGAAAGGGTCTTCAGAGGGTCTTCCCTTTGGTCTTATGGAGGACTCTCTTATTGTAGTAGTACCTGTTGGCATTAAGGTTTAACAGTAGTATTGAGACTGTACCGGAGTGTGTGTATCTATGGGAACAACAGTAGTATTGAGACTGTACCAGAGTGTGTGTATCTATGGGAACAACAGTAGTATTGAGACTGTACCTGAGTGTGTGTATCTATGGGAACAACAGTAGTATTGAGACTGTACCGGAGTGTGTGTATCTATGGGAACAACAGTAGTATTGAGACTGTACCTGAGCGTGGGGGAACAACAGTAGTATTGAGGACTGTACCTGAGCATGTGTATCTAATGCGACAACAGTAGTATTGAGACTGTACCGGAGTGTTGTGTATATATGGGAACAACAGTAGTATTGAGACTGTACCTTGAGAATGTGTAATCTATGAGAACCAACAGTATGTATTGAGACTGTACCTGAGCATGTGTAATCTATTGGAACAACAGTAGTATTGAGACTGTACCTGAGCATGTGTATCTATGGGAACACCAGTAGTATTGACGACTGTACCTGCGCATGTGTTAATCTATGGGAACAACAGTCGTATTGAGGACTGTACCTGCGCATGTGTATATCTATGAGAACAACAATAGTTATTGAGGACTGTACCGGAGTGTGTGTATCTATGGGAACAACAGTAGTATTGAGACTGCTACCTGAGTGTGGTATCTATGGGAACAGCAGTAGTATTGAGACTGTACCTGGGCATGTGTATCTATGGGAACAACAGTTAGTATTGAGGACTGTACCTGAGCATGTTGGTATCTAGTGAGAACAAACCAATAGTATTGAGACTGTACCGGAGTGGTGTGTAATCTATGGGAACAACAGTTAGTATTGAGACTGTACCTGAGTGTGTGTATCTATGGGAACAGCAGTAGTATTGAGACTGTACCTGAGTATGTGTATCTATGAGAACAACAGTAGTATTGAGACTGTACCGGAGTGTGTGTATCTATGGGAACAACAGTAGTATTGAGACTGTACCGGAGTGTGTGTATCTATGGGAACAACAGTAGTATTGAGACTGTACCTGAGCATGTGTATCTATGGGAACAACAGTAGTATTGAGACTGTACCTGAGCATGTGTATCTATGGGAACAACAGTAGTATTGAGCCTTTCTCCATGTGGGTATAGTGAGTATGTCACCTCACCTCCGTGCTCTGTTCAGCTTTTCCTAGTTCATGTGGGGTTCCTCTTTTCCCACAGCCTCCCCCAAGCCGGCTTGTACAGTCAAAGTAAACATACAGACACAGGGTGAATCTCAATTGTATTGACTTGATTGCTTGCAGCTTCCTACTCGCCTCCTTCACAAAAGGAGAATATCTGAGAGGAGGAACCTCAGATCTTCTGCTCCAATGTACTTTGTGAAGAATGCGAGGAATCGAGGAAAGATGAATTGAGACAAAGCCAAAGTAAACACTGACACAAAGACAAATACATAGACACAGACAGCTACATATGAGAGCAAATACTTACTTTTGCTCCAATATGGTAATGAGAGGATCCTATGGAGGAAGTACAGTTACACTGCATCTGTAAAATATCCTCATCATCATCAACATCCTCATCATCACACTGAAGTCGGATATTCAGAAATATCCGACTTCAGTGTGGGATGGGGGGGTCATATATGATGGTGTGGGATGGGGGGTCATATATGATGGTGTGGGATGGGGTGGTCATATATGATGGTGTGGGATGGGGTGGTCATATATGATGGTGTGGGATGGGGGGTCATATATGATGGTGTGGGATGGGGGGTCATATATGATGATGTGGGATGGGGGTCATATATGATGGTGTGGGATGGGGGGTCATATATGATGGTGTGGGATGGGGGGGGTCATATATGATGGTGTGGGATGGGGGGTCATATATGATGGTGTGGGATGGGGGGGTCATATATGATGGTGTGGGATGGGGGTCATATGATGATGGTGTGGGATGGGGGGGTCATATATGATGGTGTGGGATGGGGGGGTCATATATGATGGTGTGGGATGGGGGGTCATATATGGATGGTGTGGGATGGGGGGGTCATATATGATGGTGTGGGATGGGGGGGGTCATATATGATGGTGTGGGATGGGGGTCATATATGATGATGTGGATGGGGGGGGGTCATATATGATGGTGTGGGATGGGGGGGTCATATATGATGGTGTGGGATGGGATCATGTATGATGGTGTGGGATGGGGGGGTCATATATGATGGTGTGGGATGGGGGGTCATATATGATGGTGTGGGATGGGGGGTCATATATGATGGTGTGGGATGGGGGGGGTCATATATGATGGTGTGGGATGGGATCATGTATGATGGTGTGGGATGGGGGGGTCATATATGATGGTGTGGGATGGGGGGTCATATATGATTGGTGTGGGATGGGGGGTCATATATGATGGTGTGGGATGGGGGGTTATATATGATGGTGTGGGATGGGGGGGGTTATATATGATGGTGTGGGATGGGGTCATGCTGCGGGTCTTAGGGTCAAATCCTGTAAGGGATGAAGATTTGAGTGTGTTTTTTCAGGGCCCAGTATTCAGTCCTGACTATGAGTTTAGTGGGACTATCAATTCTCATGTGTGTAAGGGAGGCAAAGTGCAAGTGAGAGTGTGTGTGTGAGTGAGAGAGTGTGTGTATGTGTGTGAGTGAGAGAGAGTTTTTGTGTGTTTAACAGGACCTAGATTACCGGCCTACTCTCTCTTGCAGAAGGGCTAGCAAGCTAAAGATAATGCCCTCTGAGCTAAAGATAATGCCCTCTGAGCTAAAGATAATGCCCTCTGAGCTAAAGCTAATGCCCTCTGAGCTAAAGATAATGCCATCTGAGCTAAAGATAATGCCCTCTGAGCTAAAGATAATGCCATCTGAGCTAAAGATAATGCCATCTGAGCTAAAGATAATGCCCGCTGAGCTAAAGATAATGCACTCTGAGCTAAAGATAATGCCCCCTGAGCTAAAGATAATGCCCCCTGAGCTAAAGATAATGCCCTCTGAGCTAAAGATAATGCCCCCTGAGCTAAAGATAATGCCCTCTGAGCTAAAGTCACTTAAAGCCAGAAGGTTTGAGGACTTCTCCTCCCGCTTTCCTTGGTCACGTCCCAAATGGCACCCTATTCCCTGTATAGTGCAGACCCCATAAGGCCCTGGTCAAAAGTAGTGCACTACATAGGGAATAGGGTGCCATTGGGGAAGGCCACCTTCTCTCCAGGGAGCAGTTTATTTATATATATTTTTAATGGTTTCTCAACATTACTAATCCTTCCATCTCATGTCGACGAAATACTAATCCTTCCATCTCATGTCGACGAAATAATGAAACCCGCATGAAACTCAAGAGCCCAAATGGAGCCAGGTTAGGTGTGCATAAAAATGTTTTGACACCTTTTGATCACTGGTGCACATCGCAAAACATAATGGACCCTCTTCAACTTTTCATTTGAATAGAATGTAACTTACACTAATTCCATTATAACAGCCTGTGAATGTGTCTGAGAATCTGTAATAACACTGTTTGGTCTTGTTTGGGTTTCATTAGTGTATCGTCTGGTATTGTGATTTATTATGTTGTAGTAAATGGTCTTAAAAGCAATAAAAACATTTGATTAAAAAAAAGAGCCTAAAAAGCATTCTGATATTTTCATACATCATGTCTTTATTGTGTGTAAACAAACTCTGATAAGAGCATCATCAGCCAGGTTGTTGATTATTGGCGTCATTAACATGATCAATATTGTACATAATATCATGATTAAAACATGATCATTATAATAAATAACATGATATTTTAAAATAACTATCACTGCTACTGTCACAGTTCTGTCAAGCAGGGTAAACCATCTCAAAGAGCTGTGTGTGTATCCATCCATTTGTCACTCTCTGTGTGTGTGTGTGTGTGTGTGTGTGTGTGTGTGTGTGTTTAAGTGATGCCATTTGTGGTTCAAATGTTTGATTGTCTATATGTAAATGATGAATGTGTGTGTGTGTTAGTGTGTTAGGTTAAGAATTGGACACATATTCCCGTGTCCAGAGGCTTAATGTGTTAGTAGGTAATCAAATAACTAACAACTTTGCAGATTCCCGTTAAAATAAATAACAAGGGTTGCAAAAATAACCCTATTAATTAACAAAACAACAAATAAAAGTGATCAAAGAATCAATCATGTAGTGTTATGCACACAAGTGCAATATCTGTTTAGTAATAATTACTCTTACATAAAACAACAACAAATATATGTACAATTAAAACAGAAATTAACGTAGCTGTAAAAAAAAATTTACTATGACCCACATTCCGAACCACAGACAGGTTATATGGTTAGATGAAGTGTGTTTGAATATGCAGGTAGTCTGTATGAATTATCTTCACCAACAGTTTCCCTCTTACCCTGACTGAAACCCCAAACGGCACCCTACTCCCCATTTAGAGCACTACTAAAAGGAGAAAGAGGCCTACAACAACCACAGCCTGCCTCCGTCACCAAGGACTGCGTTTAGATGATGGTACATGTAGTGTAGTAAGACTGTAGAGTTGGATAGAGGGGCACACTTGGCCCAAAGCCCGTTTTTATATAACATGGGCAGCGCCATCGAGGGCTTTCACCGCCTTGAAGCGCTCTAGTACATCTCTAGGAGTTCTACTGACAGCTCATGTTGACCTCACTTCTAAGCTATTAGATGGATAAGAATATAATATTAACCTAGAGCACAATAATTAGATGACTAGGAGATGACGTGTAACAAACTCTTGTATGAACAGAAGTCCTTGAGGAGAGATGCTTTTCACGCTGGCTGCCTACGCCTACCACTACAGAGACTCTCACAATACCCATCTTTTGGTATGTATGTGTGGGGGATGAGAGTGTGTACGTACGTATACGTGTGTGTGTGTGTGTGTGTGTGTTTGTGTGTGTGTCCAGTCAAATTTAAATGAGGCTGTTGAATCTTTCTCTCCAACTTCTTTAAGGCTTCTAAACTGCTTTGGATCAAAGACGAACACTCCCACAGACAGTTTATGCAGCATAAATATCGACTCCAACATACTGCCAGACCTCACTCTGACGATGCCCTAGCAAGTGGCCCAATAAGCACCCTCATTCCCTATATAGTACACTACTTCTGACCTTCGACCATACTGAGCCCTGGTCAAAAGTAGTGCACTATATAGGGAATAGGGTGCCATTTGGGACGCAGCCCTAACCTCCCTTCAAACCCAGCTCCATGTCTGGGAAAAGGAGGGTAATTTAGGTGGTATGCACCTTACACTGGCCTCAATTTAGCTGACTTTGCCTTTCAACAACGCTTCAAGGGTTTTCCAAAAAAACTAATAATTAAATCTCATGTCAAATGCCCAAAAACAGAACATAAAATCAGGGTTTGCGGAGGCGCTGTCTTATCCGAGGGCTATGTCATCATTTAAGACGGTGTTCCAATCTGCCATGCCATTATATGTGGTTCTGGTGTGGCCACCAACACCTGCAATAGACTGGCCTAAGCAACGATTAAAACAGGGGAAGGGAAAGTAGTTGAACATGTTAAAGTGAACTACTCATCAATTTATAAGGTGGTCCTCTGTAGCTCAATTGGTAGAGCATGGTGCTTGTAACGCCAGGGTAGTGGGTTCGATCCCCGGGCCCACCCATACGTAAAAATTGTATGCACACATGACTAAGTCGCTTTGGATAAAAGCGTCTGTTAAATGGCATATTATTATTATTATTATTATTATTAGTAAATGTAGCAGTCAAGCTACTGCTCCTTCAGTAAATATTCTTCATCATCCAGTTTGGAAACACAATGAACAACAGACTAAAGCGAAGGAGGAGGGGAATGTCTTGTTTTGATCTTTCGTTTAATAAATAAAAGTCTCCAGGGTAGGGCTGGGCGATACGGCTTAAAAATCATAGCTTATGGACGATTCACAATATAGATCTACATTTTTTTTTGTAATGTTTTCTCTAAATAAGCTTTGTTGTACAATTAATAGGTCAAATACTCCGCATTTCAAACAGTCAGCAATAATCTAGTAAATGCAGGGCTTGTGAAATTAAACCCAGGCTAAATATGAGCCGTCCACAACCATAAAGACCCACTAACAATTTAATTATTTTTTCAAAATAGTTTAACCTGCTTTTTTGCAATAATCACTGATCTGATTTTCAAGTGATTTTCAAATGCCCTTTATCTTTTATAAATGGAACCAGAACCATGTGTAATGCACATTCACTAATAATGAACAACTTCTTGTAGCAGGCATTATAGAAAATGAACACAGGTCTCATAAATAATCTCTCAAGCACAAGCCCACGTGCTAGTGAGTAGCCAACTAATCTTTATGTTTCAAGTTTAGCCAACATGGATCTATTTGCTAGATAGCAAGGCAGAACAGTTGAATTGTTATGAACACACCCTTCTGTCCATCTCCAACTGTTTGAACAGAATGCTAGCCTGTCCACTTTCTTCAGATGTTGAAATCAAGTGACCTACCATATTTCTCAGAATGAGAACTAGTTGCCAATTACTTATATAAATTGTGTTTTTTTGCTTATTGCACATTTATAAAAGACAGACTAGACAGCTAGTATAACAGTAATGCTGCGCGCAACACCGAGCATGTATTTTCCAGAATGATACTCCTGTTTTAGTAGTGTCAATTTGAGTAGTTGAGACATAAAAAAGGGTATTGATAGAAAGGTTAACTTCTCCTCTATTACAGAGACAACAAAAGACAACATGAGAACAAGCGGACATAAACGCCTCATAAAAGCGATATAAAAATAATAATAAAAATAACTCGATTCTTGCGATACGGGCATTTGGAATGTCGCGCAAAAAACATCAATTTGAATCAATCTAATTAATTTGATATATCGCCCAGCCCTACTTAAGGGTGATGTTTCCCATAGGTACAGATCTAGGATCAGCTCCCCTTCCCACAATCCTAACCTTAACTACAGATCTGGGATCAGCTTCCCTTCCCACAATCCTAACCTTAACTACAGATCTGGGATCAGCTTCCCCTTCCCCCAATCCTAACCTTAACTACAGATCTAGGATCAGCTTCCCCTCCCCCCAATCCTAACCTTAACTACAGATCTAGGATCAGCTTCCCCTCCCCCCAATCCTAACCTTAACTACAGATCTGGGATCAGCTTCCCTTCCCCCAATCCTGACCTTAACCATTAGTGGGGAAATATAAAACTGACCCAAGATCAGCATCTAGGGGCAACTTCATCTTACGCCTGTGTGTGTGTGTGTGTGTGTGTGTGTGTGTGTGTGTGTGTGTGTGTCTATGTGAAGTTCTGTAGGGGCTCACTAACAGGCATGCAGGCCCAGTATAGAGCCCGGCCCAGGGTCAGGAGTACCAGCAGGATCAGCATGACCCAGGAGGCATAGATACCCCCGTAGGCCTGGGCCTTCACCCACGTACCAGCCTACAAAACACAGAGAGGAAGAAGACTTAGAGATGCAGCATTTTACAAGGCTAAGGGTGGTGTGTTTGTGATAGGACTCTGACAGTGTGCACATGTAGAGTGCACAGTACCCGCCTACGGCACAGAACAGAGGGAGAGAGAACACAGAGAGCAGTAGATGCAAGAGACATTTTTTTTTCCTTAGCTAAAAAAAGGGCTTAGGTGATTAAGCGTGGCAGAGGGCGTGGTTGTGAAACATGACAATATTATGCTTTTTTTAAACAATGTGTTCTTAAGGGATGTGTTTTTATTGTGAGGTCATCACCTGGTGGACAGCATGGAGTGGACAGTATGGAGTGGACAGTATGGAGTGGACAGTATGGAGTGGACAGCATGGAGTGGACAGTATGGAGTGGACAGTATGGAGTGGACAGTATGGAGTGGACAGCATGGAGTGGACAGCATGGAGTGGACAGTATGGAGTGGACAGCATGGAGTGGACAGCATGGAGTGGACAGCATGGAGTGGACAGCATGGAGTGGACAGTATGGAGTGGACAGCATGGAGTGGACAGCATGGAGTGGACAGTATGGAGTGGACAGTATGGAGTGGACAGCATGGAGTGGACAGCATGGAGTGGACAGCATGGAGTGGACAGTATGGAGTGGACAGCATGGAGTGGACAGCATGGAGTGGACAGCATGGAGTGGACAGCATGGAGTGGACAGCATGGAGTGGACAGCATGGAGTGGACAGCATGGAGTGGACAGCATGGAGTGGACAGCATGGAGTGGACAGCATGGAGTGGACAGCATGGAGTGGGTACTCACCACCAGCCCAGCAGTGGAGATGCTGAAAAGCAAGCATAGTAGAAAACACCACAAGCTCCGCCTTTGAGGGTACCTCTGACCAATAGAGGAGCTGCATGTTGAAGGGGCGTGGCAAAAGAGAAGGAGAAACGGTTTAAAAATATATATATTTTAGCATGAAATATAACTTGCTTCAGCTGTCCAAAAGTATTTTTTATGGTAATGTCAAGAACTTCATAGGTTTAAATAATGAGTTGATGAAGCAAGTCACACTAACAAGGTTGTGTAAGATTTGAGATGTTGCGCACAACAAGGCCGTAAAGAGCTTATCCTGAAGACTAATGCTACAGGCTTATGGTATGGGAATCTGACCCACTGCTGACAACTGCCTACAGCTCACAAGGGGATGAATACATATTTAAGAAAAATATAGGATGAAGGACATCAGTGGAGGCTGGTGTGGAAAGGACGGCTCATAATAATAGCTGGAATGGAATCAAACACATGGAAAGCATGCGTTTGACAAGTTCCATTAATGCCGTTCCAACCATTACTATGAGTCTGTCCTCCGATTTAATGTGCCACCAGCCACCACTGAAGGACTTCATCTTGAGCATAATTATTGTATAACCACTTTGATGGACTCGGCTGTATTGACTGAGTAGCCTATGGACAGACAGAAGGGACTCACACTTTCCTGCAGTGGGGGCACCTGGCGAGTGTCCGGTCAGTAAACTCTGTCCACTGAAACACATTACAAGACACTCATCATATAAATATAAAAAATTAGTTCAGTAGAGTATTATCCATGTTAGCAATATTCAAGACTTCCTGGCCTTCATAACTGCTTTGGTGTACACTGTGGCTCATTATCAAATAATCTTTCCTTGATTCCTTTTCCTCACTCAATTCCTTTTCCTTCTGAAAACACATTGGACAAGAAGGTCAAAGAGGGAGGAACCTTCTCCTTCAATACAGTTGAGGAGAAGGCGAGGAGAGAGGATGTGAGGAATCATGGAATGACTCATTGAGATAGAGCCTATATACTGGCTTTGAGAGAGGTGAAGGGTCGTACCAGGAAAGTGTTGTTGCAGTGTCCACAGGAGACCCGAGCTCCGGCTGGCTGGGGTTCAGGGCTGGCTGGACCAGGATGGACTGGACCCAGGTTTATTATCCTCTTACTGGGGAGCACAACCACAGAACTCACTGGTCAGTCTACAAGCCAATATACTGGACAACCACAGAACTCACTGGTCAGTCTACAAGCCAATATACTGGACAACCACAGAACTCACTGTTCAGTCTACAAGCCAATATACTAGACAACCACAGAACTGACTGGTCAGTCTACAAGCCAATATACTAGAAAACCACAGAACTCACTGTTCAGTCTACAAGCCAATATACTAGACAACCACAGAACTGACTGGTCAGTCTACAAGCCAATATACTAGACAACCACAGAACTGACTGGTCAGTCTACAAGCCAATATACTAGACAACCACAGAACTGACTGGTCAGTCTACAAGCCAATATATACACCATTAGAGTCAGTCACAGCCATATACTGACAACCACTGCTCACGTTCTTACAAGTCAATATACTGACAAACAACCACAGATACTCACTGTTCAGTCTACAAGTCAATATACTGGAAAAACAACCACATAGCTCACTGTTCAGTCTACAAGTCAATATACTAGACAACCACAGAACTCAATGTTCAGTGCACAAGTCAATATACTGACAACACACAGAACTCACTGTTCAGTCTACAAGTCAATATACTAGACAACCACATAACTCACTGTTTAGTTACAATCATATACTGGACAAACAACCACAGAACTCACTGTTCAGTCTACAAGTCAATATACTGGACAAACAACAATATAACTCACTGTTCAGTCTACAAGTCAATATACTGGACAAACACAGAACTCACTGTTCAGTCTACAAGTCAATATACTGGACAAACAACCACATAGCTCACTGTTCAGTCTACAAGCCAATATACTGGACAACCATATAGCTCACTGTTCAGTCTACAAGCCAATATACTAGACAACCACAGAACTCACTGTTCAGTCTACAAGTCAATATACTAGACAACCATATAGCTCACTGTTCAGTCTACAAGTCAATATACTGGACAAACAACCACAGAACTCACTGTTCAGTCTACAAGTCAATATACTAGACAAACAACCACAGAACTCACTGTTCAGTCTATGTTAGATTAATTTGTATTTTAAGAATAATGACTAAAGGATTTCACCCCAAATACAGTATAAATGTGTAAACTGTGTTATATTTAGAATGTAGTATCAACCCACTAACAGAGGGGGGCGAGACTAAACATTCCAGGGTGAAGGAGAAAGGTGGAAACTGTTTAAGAAAGCCTCCTAAAGGTGGGTGGAGCAAAGTGCCTTTGTGTGTCAAGGGGTATAAAACAGGAGTGTATGGGTTTTGGCGCCAGAGCTCTCCATGAATAAAAAGACAGATCATTATTGTTGGTTGTGGACCTTGAATCATTTATGATTAAAATCAGAGCCTTACAACCTCTGGTAATGATTCAAGCTTAGGTTGAATTAGAGATAGAAATGATCTTAACAGTCTGTCCAGTATATTGACTTGTAGACTGAACAGTGAGCTATGTGGTTGTTTGTCCAATATATTGACTTGTAAACAACCACATAGCTCACTGTTCAGTCTACAAGTCAATATACTAGACAACCACAGAACTCACTGTTCAGTCTAAGTCGGTATTACTAGCTAGGTTTAAATGCAACTGAGCGCAAGTTCCATACAAGTCAACTAACTTATGTAGGGGCCTGGGTTAGCCTAACGCAGTCCTTGATGCACTAGTATCAGTGTGAATGAAGTGTGATTTAAGGGGTTTCACATGCTGTATCAACTGTATTCACCAAGTAGACAACATGCCACCTGGACAAAATCTTTATATATGACAGTGTCTGCGTCTGAAATAATAATAATAATAATAATAATATGCCATTTAGCAGACGCTTTTATCCAAAGCGACTTACAGTCATGCGTGCATACATTTTTGTGTATGGGTGGTCCCGGGGATCGAACCCACTACCTTGGCGTTACAAGCGCCGTGCTCTACCAGCTGAGCTACAGAGGACCACAAATGGCACCCTATTCACTATATAGTACACTACTGTTGACCAGGGCCCATACAGTGAGGGAAAAAAGTATTTGATCCCCTGCTGATTTTGTACGTTCGCCCACTGACAAAGAAATTATCAGTCTATAATTTTAAATGGTAGGTTTCTTTGAACAGTGAGAGACAGAATAACAACAAAAAAAACCAGAAAAAACATGTCAAAAATGTAATAAATTGATTTGCATTTTAATGAGGGAAATAAGTATTTGACCCCCTCTCAATCAGAAAGATTTCTGGCTCCCAGGTGTCTTTTATACAGGTAACGAGCTGAGATTAGGAGCACACTCTAAGGAGTGCTCCTAATCTCAGCTCGTTACCTGTATAAAAGACACCTGTCCACAGAAGCAATCAATCAATCAGATTCCAAACTCTCCACCATGGCCAAGACTAAAGAGGTCTCCAAGGATGTCAGGGACAATATTTGTAGACCTACACGAGGCTAAAATGGGCTACAAGACCATCGCCAAGCAGCTGGGTGAGAAGGTGACAACAGTTGGTGCGATTATTCGCAAATGGAAGAAACACAAAATAACTGTCAATCTCCCTCGACCTGGGGCTCCATGCAAGATCTCACCTCGTGGAGTTGCAATGATCATGAGAACGGTGAGGAATCAGCCCAGAACTACACGGGATGATCTTGTCAATGATCTCAAGGCAGCTGGGACAATAGTCACCAAGAAAATAATTGGTAACACACTACGCCGTGAAGGACTGAAATCCTGCAGCGCCCGCAAGGTCCCCCTGCTCAAGAAAGCACATATACAGGGCCATCTGAAGTTTGCCAATGAACAGCTGAATGATTCAGAGGAGAAGTGTTGTGGTCAGATGAGATCAAAATCGAGCTCTTTGGCATCAACTCAACTCGCCGTGTTTGGAGGAGGAGGAATGCTGCCTATGACCCCAAGAACACCATCCCCACCGTCGCGCAGTGGCGCAGTGGTCTAAGGCACTGCATCGCAGTGCTAACTGTGCCACTAGAGATCCTGGTTCGAATCCAGGCTCTGTCGCAGCCGGCCGCGACCGGGAGACTCATGGGCGTCGCACAATTGGCCCAGCGTCGGCAGGGATGTAGCTCAGTTGATAGAGCATGGCGTTTGCAACGCCAGGGATGTGGGTTCGATTCCCACGGGGGGCCAGTATAAAAAAAATATATATGTATTCACTAACTGTAAGTCGCTCTGGATAAGAGCGTCTGCTAAATGACTAAAATGTAAATGTCAAACATGGAGGTGGAAACATTATGCTTTGGGGGTATTTTTCTGCTAAGAGGACAGGACAACTTCACCGCATCAAAAAGGGACGATGGACGGGGCCATGTACCGTCAAATCTTGGGTGAGAACCTCCTTCCCTCAGCCAGGGCATTGAAAATGGGTCGTGGATGGGTATTCCAGCATGACAATGACCCAAAACATACGGCCAAGGCAACAAAGGAGTGGCTCAAGAAGAAGCACATTAAGGTCCTGGAGTGGCCTAGCTAGTCTCCAGACCTTAATACCATAGAAAATATGTGGAGGGAGCTGAAGGTTCGAGTTGCCAAACGTCAGCCTCGAAACCTTAATGACCTGGAGAAGATCTGCAAAGAGGAGTGGGACAAAATCCCTCCTGAGATGTGTGCAAACCTGGTGGCCAACTACAAGAAACGTCTGACCTCTGATTGCCAACAAGGGTTTTGCCACCAAGTACTAAGTCATGTTTTGCAGAGGGGTCAAATACTTATTTCCCTCATTAAAATGCTAATCAATTTATAACATTTTTGACATGCGTTTTTCTGGATTTTTGTGTTGTTATTCTGTCTCTCACTGTTCAAATAAACCTACCATTAAAATTATAGACTGATCATTTCTTTGTCAGTGGGCAAACGTACAAAATCAGCAGGGGATCAAATACTTTTTTCCCTCACTGTTTGTCTCTGGTTAAAAGTAGTGTACTATTATAGGGAATAGGGCTCCATTTGGGACATACAGTGCATTCGGAAAGTATTCAGACCCCTTCCCTTTCTCCACATTTTGTTACGTTACAGCCTTATTCTAAAATGGATTAAATGCTTTTTTTCCCTCATCAATCTACACACAATACCCCATAATGACAAAGCAAAAACAGTTTTGATTTCTATTTGCCATATATTTCTTAACTGTGCTGTGATGATTTTTAACAAAAATTCTGAACCTTTCTATTCTCATAGTTTCTACAGATTGTAAATTAAAAGATAAACATTTTTGCTAAAAGCATTATTATTATTACTTTTCAAATCACTCCGCAGCGCTATTTGCAGAGTTAGCACCAGGTAAATGTTGCAATTTGTCTGCCATTCCTGAACCTGCGACCAAAAACAAGTGCATTCGGAAAGTATTCAGACCCCTTGACTATTTCCACATTTTGTTACGTTACAGCCTTATTCTAAAAAGTATTACATTGTTTTTTTCCTAATCAATCTAGACACAAACCCCTTAATAACAAAGCGAAAACAGGTTTTTAGTAATTTCTGCAAATATATAATAAACAAAACTGAAACACCTTATTTACATAAGTATTCAGACCTTTGCAATGAGACTCGAAATTGAAATCAGGTGCATCCTGTGTCCATTGATCAACCTTGAGATGTTTCTACAACTTGATTGGAGTCCACCTATGGTAAATTCAATTTATTGGACATGATTTGGAAAGGCACACACCTGTCTATATAAAGTCCCACAGTTGACAGTGCATATCAGAGCAAAAACCAAGCCACAAGGTCGAAAGAATTGTGCGTAGAGCTCCGAGGCAGGATTGTGTCGAGGTACAGATCTGGGGAAGGGTACCAAAAGAACTCTGGAGCAGGTTTTCATCAAGGATCTCTCTGTACTTTGCTCTGTTCATCTTTCCCTTGATCCTGACTAGTCTCCCAGTCCCTGCCGCTGAAAAACATCCCATCAGCATGATGCTGCCACCACCATGCTTCACCGTAGGATGGTGCCAGGTTTCCTCCAGACGTGACGCTTGGCATTCAGGCCAAAGAGTTCAATTTTGGTTTCATCAGACCAGAGAATCTTGTTTCTCATGGTCTGAGAGTCTTTTAGGTGCCTTTTGGCAAACTCCAAGCGGGCTGTCATGTGCCTTTTACTGATGAGTGGCTTCCGTTTGGCCACTCTACCATAAAGGCCTGATTGGTGGAGTGCTGCAGAGATGGTTGTCCTTCTGGAAGGTTCTCCCATCTCCACAGAGGAACTCTGGAGTTCTGTCAGAGTGACCATCGGGTTCTTGGTCACTTACCTTGACCAAGGCCCTTCTCCCCCGATTGCTCCGTTTGGCCGGGCGGCGAGCTTTAGGAAGTGTCTTGGTGGTTCCAAACTTCTTCCATTTAAGAATGATGAGGCCACCATGTTCTTGAGGACCTTCAATGCTGCAGACAATTTTTGATACCCTTGCCCAGATCTGTGCCTCGACATAACCCTGTCTCTGAGCTCTACGTACAATTCCTTCGACTTCATGGCTTGGTTTTTGCTCCAATATGCACTGTGAACTGTGGGACCTTATATAGACAGGTGTGTGCCTTTCCAAATCATGTCCAATCAATTGAATTTACCACAGGTGGACTCCAATCAAGTTGCAGAAACATCTCAAGGATGACCAATAGAAACAGGACGCACCTGAGCTCAATTTTGAGTCTCATATCAAAGGGTATAAATACTTATGTAAATAAGGTATCTGTTTTTTGCATTTGCAAAAAATTTCTCAAATCTTGTTTTCGCTTTGTCATTATGGGGTATTATGTGTAGATTGATGAGGATAAAAAAAAAATCATTTTAGAATGACAAAATGTGGAAAAATTGAAGGGGACTGAATACTTTCCGAATGCACTGTATATCAATTATTTGATGATCTGACTGCATTCTGTCCACTATCAATACTATTTAAACATTTGGTGCCAGCGAGAATGCCATAAGAAAGTAGTCAAGACGACTAGCTTGATTGAGTCTCCGCCATGTATATATCTCACTAGGTCAGGATATTTAAGCCTCCACATACGCACTAGTTCCAATATGTCCACAATATTTGTTATTTCCTGAAGTGCATCATTTGTAGTGTGATTTCCTTTACGGTCCATTGAGGTACTTCAAACCGTATTATAATCTCCCACCATAATACTTGAGTCATGTATTGCTTGTAAGCTCGATAAATTATTATATATATTTTAAAAGAAGCGTGGATCACCATTATTTGGACAATATAGATTAATGAGCCAAATCTGTTTATGGTCCAATAGCATATTTAAAAGGATCCACCTTATTTGCGGATCTGTTTGAACAGTTTGCACATTCGGATCGAAATGATTGTTAATTAATGTTGTCACCCCTTTTTAGTTTCTGTGCCCATGGGAGAAATATATTTCCACTCCCCCTCCCTCTTACCAGTAGGGGCGGGGACAGGCAATCCTCTGAGAGGTGACTTTGCAGATGAGCAGACAGTTACAGGGGCAGCGGACATACTTCTTCCCTGCTGGTGCATTCTTGATGGGCTACAGTGGGATACAGAGAGACACAAGAGGAGGAATAGGAAGAGGAGAGGGAGAGGGAGAAAGAGGAGAGGGAGAGGGAGGAAGAGGAGAGGGGGAGGGGGAAGAGGAGAGGGGGAGGGAGGAAGAGGAGAGGGGAGAGGGAGGAAGAGGAGAGGGAGAGGGAGGAAGAGGAGAGGGAGAGGGAGGAAGAGGAGAGGGAAAGGGAGGAAGAAGAGAGGGAGGATGAGGAAGAAGAGAGGGAGGATGAGGAAGAAGAGAGGGAGAGGGAGAATGAAGAGAGGGAGAGGGAGGAAGAGGAGAGGGAGGAAGAGGAGAGGGAGGAAGAGGAGAGGGAGAGGGAGGAAGAGGAGAGGGAGGAAGAGGAGAGGGAGGAAGAGGGAGAGGGAGGAAGAAGGGAGGAAGAGGAGAGGGAGGACGAGGACACAGAGGGGGAACAAGCCAAACAAGATGAACAAGAAGTCATTATCAGATCCAAGAAAAGTGAGAGAGGGGGTTGCACATAGAGTGTCAGTCGTGTTTTTCTTGACAATGACAGCAATGGAGTAGACCAGACCAGAGCACAAACAGATCTTAGACCAGGCTAGGTTGCCCACTTTTATATGGGATGAAAAATCAATGTAATTATTTTTTTTTTAATCAATGTGTTGTATGTTATGGCGTTTACTGTGGCCTCATGAGCTACCACTGTATGCAACCTTGTATGACGAATGTCTATAAATGTGACACCAACCAGTTGTATAAGATTTTGTCCCAAATGGCACCCTATTCCCTATATAGTGCACTACTTTTGACAAGATCAAAAAGGGTCCCTGCTCAAAAGTAGTGCACTATATAGGGAATAGTATGAAAAATGTATGCACTCACTAACTGTAAGTCGCTCTGGATAAGAGCGTCTGCTAAATGACTCAAATGTAAATGAATAGGGTACCATTTTGCAACGCAACCTAAATTAACACGCAGGTAGATGTAAGGTATGCATAGGGCTCTGTTCAAAAGTAGTGCACTATACAGTAAACATTAGAGACACGACCTAAATGAACATGCAGGAAGTAAACACTAAACAGGTGACCCACCGTAGCCTCGTTGCAGACCCCACACTTGACCACATGCTGGTGGAGCTTCCCCTCCACGCTGATGAGGCTCTGACACACTCTACAGCTGATGACTGGCGCGCTGCCACTGTCTGGGGAGGTGAGGGGGGAGTAAGGAGGAGGGTCCTCCCCCAGGAGCACTGAGGGCTGGGTGGGGATGGGGAAGGGAGGGAAGCCTGAAATACAGAGAGAGGGAGGCACATTTACATCTTATTCTGAGCGACTTAGTCAGTGCATTCAACTAACTAAGGCCTCAACACAATAACACAATGTACACATAGTGTGGCAGATTAGTGCACTGCCACTGAAACAAGAAAGGGTTAAACACGGAAAATACTGTTCTGTTTTTTAACCTTTTAAATAAGGATTAACAAGACAATGAGATTTGAGGCTCGAGTTCCAACTGAAAAGGAGCTTTATAAAAGGACTGCAGGAATGCAGGGACTTATCGCTCTGTGTGTGTGTGTGTGTGTGTGTGTGTGTGTGTGTGTGTGTGTGGAATCAGCAGTTACCACTGTACCAACAACTTCAAATAAATAAGTTGTTTGTAAATAAATACATTGGTAAATAAATACATTTAAAGGCATCATATTATGTGTACCCTCGACTCACGCCATTTTTCTAATATGTAGTTAAGTACAGTAGCCCCTCCCAATGGAGACAGTAATTGGTCGTCGTCTTATATTGCAGTAATTATGAGCTTCCCGAGAGGCCCAGGGCGGTGCCAATCAAATCAGGTGTTTTGGTTTCGAGATTTGCAAACTAGCTAGCTAGAGTAGAGATCACTGACGGTAGATCTTGAAATAGCGGTAGAAATATTACACTACTAGCTATAATTTTATAATACATCTCAGAATTACCAAAAATAATATTATAACACGTGGATAATCTGGTATCTTGTATACTATACTGAGCAATTAGCTAGCCATCTTTTTGGGTAGACAACTTCCAAGTTCTAGCTAGTTCCATACATAAAACCCAACACATCATCGGTGTTTCTGTTTAGTACATCCCTTCAACTATGATGACTAGCCGACAAATGTAGAAAATGCCAAAAGGTTACAACATTCTAGCCAATTAGCTAGCTAGGTGACTAGCCAGCTAACCACTAGTTAGCTAACTAACCGGCATGCTTGCATCAACAGCTAGCTAGCTGACTAGCAACCACGATTTACTCCCCAGATACTAACTATCCATGTAGATAGCTAGATACCAAGAAAGCAACCTTTCGTGCTCTTAGCAATCTGAAAATCATAGGGACCGATGCTTTGTCAGCTATCTTTGCTTTGGCTAGGTAGGAGAACATCCATGGATACTCACTTTGTGGTTTATCTGGTAAACCATAGGGAGCCGAGCCTGGTGACACTCCGCCGTTACCGCCGACAAGAGCACCATCTCCAAGATCTGCTAGTAACGGGGACCTCTCACCGTCCGCCATACCGAAAGCAAAGGCGTGGGGGAGTAGGACGGTGCAACGCAATGATATGGAGCCGTTGTATTGTTGTGTCTGAAACGTATGCGTCACATGATCAGACGTTCGCTGCTGTGACTGTCAGACCATGCACACTCCCCCATAATTGGTTAACACAGCATATTGCATAGTAACAAACAAGATTGGTAACGCTAAAATATAGCAAAGAGGGTGTTGGTGAATATAGCACAAAGAGGAAAATAAACCAAACCATTTTATTTATTGAAATGCAGACAATATATTCCATGAACAGAGTAAATGGTCAGACTTTATAATGAAAACCATGGAACTCTTCAAACAAACAAGTAATCCATAGCGGCAGAAATGGACAATACCCATCTCTTCTGCATCATGACAGAAGACGGAGGCTCTGCTCTCACCTGTGCACAGGTGAGGTAGGTAGGAACTGAAGGAACCCCTAGGTAGGTAGGAACCCATAACCACATTCACGTGTCCTCCAAGATTAGCTTAATTTCCTCTTGAGTTCAGTTTGCTCCTCAATCATTTTTCCTTTCTCCTAACTTTCTCTCAACGTTGCAGGTTGATTTGATCCATGAGGCGGTTCATTGGTAGCGTGACCTCCAGCTCCTGTCTTTCACTGTAGAACTGGGCTTTTCCCTCCTGACTGTGGACCGGGTGAGGAAGGTGTAGGCCCAGTTTACTGTGTAGAGACAGAAGAAAGGATTTGAAGCTAGAATCCTTAGTTGCTACATCTATTTTTGGACTTACAAATTAATGATATAAATCCATCGATTCTTGAAGAATATAACTTATAAATGCCTCATGATCTTAGTTAACTGTTGTACCCCATCAGAACCTAACATGTAAACAATGTAAATGTAAACAAACACTGTATAGCCTCAAAAGATGGTTAAAACTATAATTTTTATATCATGGATGGTCAGTCCTTGCATCCATAGCCCTGTCTATTAATTGGAGAGTTCTTACATTTTTTCCAGGCCCATTATTTTTTTGACCAAAACAGAGGTGGGGTGTCCGCTTTGTTATGGTTTCAATTAAGGATTATAGCTTTAATTAGTAAAATAGATATGAGAGAAAGGGAAACAGCGAGCGAGAGACAGAGAAATTGTGTGTGTGTGTGTGTGTGTGAGAGAGAGACAGAGATAAATTGTGTGTGTGTGTGTGAGAGAGAGAGAGAGAGAGAGAGAGAGAGAGAGAGCGAGAGAGAGAGAGAAATGGTCTGTGTGTGAGAGAGAGAGAGAGCGAGAGAGAGAGAGACAGAGAGAAATTGTGTGTGTGTGTGAGAGAGAGCGAGCGAGAGAGACCGAGATAAATTGTGTGTGTGTGTGTGAGAGAGAGCGAGAGAGACCGAGATAAATTGTGTGTGTGTGTGTGTGAGAGAGATTTTCAGCCATGGCTGAGACGACACATGCTTTAGATAGAGATAAAACAATATTTATGAAGAAAAATTGAGCAAGAGAGGAGGTCAGCAAATAGTAGCAAATCGTTTTCTGGCTGTGGATAGAATGCCTGGAACTCTTTATAGATCATTTTCTGGCTGTGGATAGAACGCCTGGAACTCTTCACAGAAGGATGACAGGCAGGCAACATTCTAAAGAATCTTACAAGTTTGGCGTTCGCAGATCAAGGAATTTCTCCTTCACATCCAAGACTACATCTGTTGCTTTGGTGTCTGGCAGTTTGATTTTCACCTGAGGAGATAAAGTTAATATTATTATGATATTATTGTTCTGTACTATAATTTCACATGGGTGTAATAGACTCCACCTCAACTGGTGAAAAACTTGCCATCAACCCAGTTGGAGGACATTCTATTCATCTATTCAAGCCAAGTCAGTCAAGTAATAGATGCAAGAAGATGTAACATTGCAGAACACTGTAGCTACATGGTTAACAACAGCATAGAGTTACGTATAGAATCCTATAGAATTACATATATAATTAATTATAGGATCTCTATGGTTACCAGCATGCTGTCACAGCACATGGAAGAGGGATCCTTTCTGCTCATCCCAAGAAACACATCCTCTGTCCCAACATTCTGCTTCAGCAATATGTCATACCTGAACACACACACGTTCCCCAGCCAACAGCAATGAGGAAGAAATTAGATGTGAAGGATGGGAGTACCAATAGCCTTGTCTGGAATGTTGTTTTCTTTTTCATGGTGTTAAGACTGCAAACTTGACTTACTCAGGCTTTGGCCGGGTGTCTGTGAGGTCATCAAACTGCGACCCCTCTGTCACCTCCTCCTCACTCCAGATGGCTTTACTGTCCTTCTTGGTGTAGGCTGTTGTAACCATAGAATTAGTAATTTAATAGGATCTCTATGGTTGTAACTACATATACAGCTTGTTACTGTTTGCATCCAAAATGGCACCCTATTCCCTATTTAATCCACTACTTTTTTGGTACAAGCCACCTGAGAAAACAGACCTGATTTGTTGGCAGCAGGTGATGGGAGACCAATATCTCCAGGTCCCATTACGGCTGAGGATGTCATATTCTGTTCAGGAAATATTTTAAAGAATAAATCACTTTCAAAGACTGATATAGAAAGCAAGTGCAAACTAGCTGTTGTCACATATCTAACGTTAGCTAGCTACATGATCATCATGTTTTTGCTAGCATGCTAACTGGACAAGTTATCACATTTTTGTTTGCCAAAACAGTTTTATTAGCTAGCTTGTTTACACAAAACTAACGTTGGAGAAGTGCAACTTATCTCAATGATTAACGGTAGCAATGCCTTACTTTAAAATTATATTCATCATCCTCGTCCTGCGTGGATAAGAGGGCAGAGAGCGCTTGTAGATTCTGGAATGATGACAACCCCTCCATTGACATTGTGAAATAATATTCACTTGCTCGAGCAAAGGCTTCCTGGCAAAGTCAGCTAGCAACAGCAAAGGCTTCCTGGCAAAGTCAGCTAGCAACAAACAATATGGCTGGATACGTCAATTCTCGCGCTAAACCTAATGTCTAATATATCTCTGTGTACCTAAAATAGGCGAATCGAGATTGTCTAAACAAAATAAATTCACCGCGACAGCATATATTCCAGTCCCAAAGGGGAACGTCAAATATTTTTTATAACTAACCCTATCTGTGGGAATGTGTTGGGCAGCTGTTTCCAGGGAGATGGTCGCTATGCTTTTTTCGATGCTATGGAGACCGCGCCTACGTCAGCTCCTTGTGGGAGTGGCGAGAACCAGATACGTTTAAATAGAACCACAGAACATGTCAGACTGGCGCTCATGTACTCAGATCTGAAATGACAGGATGTGTAAACAATATAGGGAAAAACTCCTGCCAGCTAATCAGAAGGCGAGGTGAAGCAATTACCATATTTGTTAAACGTATTAATTATTTTCAGATCTACAGGAGTGCCTAAGGGTTTGGGGGAATTCAGCACATCTCTCTTTGATCCTCTGGTCCTCAAAATTCATTGAACCTTTGATCCTTTCCCAGTCCCTGCCCACTCCCTGCATTTTGCCGCATTCATGTGCTAGCCAGAACTAGGAAAATCGGACATTTCAGACTTGCTAACTCCTTGTAGCTACGTTTTCAGGCTGTTCAACCAGTTAGCAAGTCGGACATTCCTGAGTTTCCTAGTTCCGACTTGCAATTGAACGCGGCATTAGACCTGTTACCTAGGAGACGGAGGGAGGGGACCCCTCACTGTGCCAGGCAACAGGCCTGAACTCTTTAGTGCCACCCTGTGGACAAAATAGTTTATTCTCACAGATGCTGTGCCACATGAGTGACCTAGCAACTTCTGATTTGTCAAGTATTGCCAGTGCCCAGACCAATCATTTCTCTACACCCGCAATAACATCTGCTAAACATGTGTATGTGACAAATAAAATGTGATTTGATGTCTCAACCAAAAAAACACATTTGGACAACTGGATAGATTTTCAGTGAAACAGTGAATACTCCCAAGGATAAATAGTGCAAATTGCAGATCACCACAATGATACAAGTCAGAGCAAAGAGGAAGAAGGTTGGTGTGGAATATAGTTTATTAATTTTGATAGATAATAATTCAGATTTTTTTAATATTAAAAACATCAAGTAAAAATGCTCATATGTACACAGCAGCAGAAGCAGGGGGTTGGGCTGAGCAGAGCAGAGCAGGACACAGATGTGCTTAAATCCTAAGAGGCTATAGAAAGAAAATATTTAATTGTGCTACTTACTTTCTACATGAAAGCGCACAGAAATATTCCCAAGAGAGAAAATACTTGGTTTTATCTCAAAGCTTGTTAGATGAATACTTCCACTATTCACCAGTTGTGACATTGTCAGTGATAAGCTACAGTACTTGTGATGTGAACATTTAAATGAACACAGTAATGATTCTACATCTAAATTAATCACAAAATGGTGGTTGTTTTAATGTAATCTTAATGTACACGTCTATATATATATATATATATATATACAGTGGGGCAAAAAAGTATTTAGTCAGCCACCAATTGTGCAAGTTCTCCCACTTAAAAAGATGAGAGAGGCCTGTAATTTTCATCATAGGTACACGTCAACTATGACAGACAAATTGAGAAAAAAAAATCCAGAAAATCCCATTGTAGGATTTTTAATGAATTTATTTGCAAATTATGGTGGAAAATAAGTATTTGGTCACCTACAAACAAGCAAGATTTCTGGCTCTCACAGACCTGTAACTTCTTCTTTAAGAGGCTCCTCTGTCCTCCACTCGTTACCTGTATTAATGGCACCTGTTTGAACTTGTTATCAGTATAAAAGACACCTGTCCACAACCTCAAACAGTCACACTCCAAACTTCACAATGGCCAAGACCAAAGAGCTGTCAAAGGACACCAAAAACAAAATTGTAGACCTGCACCAGGCTGGGAAGACTGAATCTGCAACAGGTAAGCAGCTTGGTTTGAAGAAATCAACTGTGGGAGCAATTATTAGGAAATGGAAGACATACAAGACCACTGATAATCTCCCTCGATCTGGGGCTCCATGCAAGATCTCACCCCGTGGGGTCAAAATGATCACAAGAACGGTGAGCAAAAATCCCAGAACCACACGGGGGGACCTAGTGAATGACCTGCTGAGAGCTGGGACCAAAGTAACAAAGCCAACCATCAGTAACACACTACGCCGCCAGGGACTCAAATCCTGCAGTGCGAGACGTGTCCCCCTGCTTAAGCCAGTACATGTCCAGGCCCGTCTGAAGTGCATTTGGATGATCCAGAAGAGGATTGGGAGAATTTCATATGGTCAGATGAAACCAAAATATAACTTTTTGGTAAAAACTCAACTCGTCATGTTTGGAGGACAAAGAATGCTGAGTTGCATCCAAAGAACACCATACCTACTGTGAAGCATGGGGTTGGAAACATCATGCTTTGGGGCTGTTTTTCTGCAAAGGGACCAGGACGACTGATCCGTGTAAAGGAAAGAATGAATGGGGCCATGTATCGTGAGATTTTGAGTGAAACCCTCCTTCCATCAGCAAGGGCATTGAAGATGAAACGTGGCTGGGTCTTTCAGCATGACAATGATCCCAAACACACCGCCCGGGCAACGAAGGAGTGGCTTCGTAAGAAGCATTTCAAGGTCCTGGAGTGGCCTAGCCAGTCTCCAGATCTCAACCCCATAGAAAATATTTGGAGGGAGTTGAAAGTCTGTGTTGCCCAGCGACAGCCCCAAAACATCACTGCTCTAGAGGAGATCTGCATGGAGGAATGGGCCAAAATACCAGCAACAGTGTGTGAAAACCTTGTGAAGACTTACAGAAAACGTTTGACCTGTGTCATTGCCAACAAAGGGTATATAACAAAGTATTGAGAAACTTTTGTTATTGACCAAATACTTATTTTCCACCATCATATGCCAATAAATTCATTAAAAATCCTACAATGTGATTTTCTGGAATTTTTTTTCTATTTTTGTCTGTCATAGTTGACGTGTACCTATGATGAAAATTACAGGCCTCTCTCATCTTTTTAAGTGGGAGAACTTGCACAATTGGTGGCTGACTAAATACTTTTTTTCCCCACTGTATATATATTTATATTAAAACAATCCTGTTTTTTTTTAAAGATTACAAAGAGATTTAGAGATACAATTTCAATCGAAAATTGTATTTGATCCCCTGCTGATTTTGTACATTTGCCCACTGACAAAGAAATGATCAGTCTATAATTTTAATGGTAGGTTTATTTGAACAGTGAGAGACAGAATAACAACAAAAAAATCCAGAAAAACGCATGTCAAAAATTTTATAAATTGTTTTTCATTTTAACGAGGGAGATTAGTATTTGACCCCTCTGCAAAACATGAATTAGTACTTGATGGCAAAACTCTTATAATAATAATAATAATATGCCATTTAGCAGACGCTTTTATCCAAAGCGACTTACAGTCATGCGTGCATACATATATATTTTTTTTGTGTATGGGTGGTCCCGGGGATCGAACTGTTTGCAATCACAGAGGTCAGACGTTTCTGGGAGTTGGCCACCAGGTTTGCACACATCTCAGGAGGGATTTTGTCCCACTGCTCTTTGCAGATCTTCTCCAGGTCATTAAGGTTTTGAGGCTGACGTTTGGCAACTCGAACCTTCAGCTCCCTCCACAGATTTTCTATGGGATTAAGGTCTGTAGACTGGCTAGGCCACTCCAGGACCTTAATGTTCTCCTTCTTGAGCCACTCCTTTGTTGCCTTGGCTGTGTGTTTTGGGTCATTGTCATGCTGGAATACCCATCCACGACCCATTTTCAATGCCCTGGCTGAGGGAAGGAGGTTCTCACCCAAGATTTGACGGTACATGGTCCCGTCCATCATCCCTTTGATGCGGTGAAGTTGTCCTGTCCCCTTAGCAGAAAAACACCCCCAAAGCATAATGTTTCCACCTCCATGTTTGACGGTGGGGATGGTGTTCTTGGGGTCATAGGCAGCATTCCTCCTCCTCCAAACACGGCGAGTTGAGTTGATGCCAAAGAGCTCGATTTTGGTCTCATCTGACCACAACACTTCTCCTCTGAATCATTCAGATGTTCATTGGCAAACTTCAGACGGACCTGTATATGTGCTTTCTTGAGCAGGGGAACCTTGCGGGCGCTGCAGGATTTCAGTCCTTCACGGCGTAGTATGTTACCAATTGTTTTCTTGGTGACTATGGTCCCAGCTGCCTTGAGATCATTGACAAGATCCTCCCGTGTAGTTCTGGGCTGATTCCTCACCGTTCTCATGATCATTGCAACTCCACAAGGTGAGATCTTGCATGGAGCCCCAGGCCGAGGGAAATTGACAGTTATTTTGTGTTTCTTCCATTTGCGAATAATCGCACCAACTGTTGTCACCTTCTCACCAAGCTGCTTGGCGATGGTCTTGTAGCCCATTCCAGCCTTGTGTAGGTCTACAATCTTGTTCCTGACATCCTTGGAGACCTCTTTAGTCTTGGCCATGGTGGAGAGTTTGGAATCTGATTGATTGATTGCTTCTGTGGAAAGGTGTATTTTATACAGGTAACAAACTGAGATTAGGATCACTCCCTTTAAGAGTGTGCTCCTAATCTCAGCTCGTTACCTGTATAAAAAGACACCTGGGAGCCAGAAATCTTTCTGATTGAGAGGGGGTCAAATACTTATTTCCCTCATTAAAATGCAAATCAATTTATAACATTTCTGACATGCGTTTTTCAGGATTTTTTTGTTGTTATTCTGTCTCTCACTGTTCAAATAAACCTACCATTAAAATTATAGACTGATCATTTCTTTGTCAGTGTGCAAAAGTACAAAATCAGCAGGGGATCAAATACTTTTTTCCCTCACTGTAAATGCTAGTGAAACACCATACATGTTCTCTTCTATCACACTACCCATAATACATCTTTCATTTTATACATCGACTCCCCCATTCAGCCTACACAAGACATGCTTCTCTTTCGATGTCTCTGAACATTCCAAAACAGTTCTCTTTCTATGTCTCTGAACATTCCATTATCTTACCTGGCTGAACAACATCCTCTTTCCAGACAAAGAATTGTCAATACTTAATAAAAATAGTGTATTAATTAATGTATGTTGGCAGAGGAGATCGGAGCTATTACAACAGAGTATAATTATAGTAAAGCACAGACATTCATGGTAATAATCAAATATCACCCGAGAAATTAAAGACAAAATGTAATTGATATAATTTGTCATGTCCAAGTCAGTGTTATCCAACACAGCAATGAAGGAGCAAAATCGACCATTTAAACCACCCAACTCTCCCTTGGGGAAAAATGTACTATGGCTATATGTTATACATGAACTAAAAGTAATTTACAGTACTGTAGTTGTGACTCATCCTGTCATGACATTTATAGTACTGTGGACCAGGGCTCTGCTCAAAAGAAGTACACTGTGTAGGGGATAGGGTGCCATTTTGGAACTCGGCCCCAATCTACTTTAGGCCTCTGATTCTGATTGGTCAGTGGTGACACTTCCATTCAACTCCCCTGGTCCAGTTTGTTCTTCTATACCAGTGATCTCACCAACAATAAATGAAACGGGGCCAACGACCCCTCCTTTCCCATTGTCTAGCTGCTTCCCTGATTGGTTGGTCAGAGAAGATCCCTCCCATTTCTCTTCGTCCAATTTACTGGAGATCGACCAATAGAGATGAGCCTCCAGTCGGGCCGCAGCCAATGAGAGTTCGTGTGCTGAGCAGGAGGGAGTGTCCACCTACGGAAGAGAGGGGTATTGGTGGTAGTTACTGTATCAGACAACTTGGAAAAGTCCGTTCATTTCCACATGTTGAATTGCCACCGCTCGACGTCGTCACCCAGCAGGTGATAGCTAACACGGCACCCCTGCTGCTTTAAGCCTTTCCTCTTTCTGGAGTGTGTGTGTGTGTGTTTTTTTTTACCTCAAAGGTTTGATGGAAGGCGCCATAGTCGATGTCAAAGAAGCCTTCGGCCAGTGACATCATCGGACTGAACCTGTGACCCCACTGGACCTCGTCTGCCAGGTAAGAGCTCCGCGCCTGGCACGTCATACCTGGGGGTACCAACACACACACACACACACACACACACTTTGTAAGAACAGATTAACCTCCCCTGGCAGCTCCCCTTCAGCTGCTATGATGACTAAGCACATCTTTTCTCAGTGGGCAAGGAAGCCACTTCCACTTCCAAGGCATGGTGCACCCATAGAGATCCTATAATTGGCCTATTCTGGTCACACCACTTTGACCAGAGACTTATGGGAACCTGAAGAAACTAGGTGAAATGCGTCGTTGATTCACTGCAAATTAAAACTAATCTAGAGTCGGTTGCCTGTCTTTCGTAGTGTGCGGTTTAAAAACTTGTTTTTGAATAAGTTGCCATTTGGGACCAAGGAAATTGAGGTGGCCTCCACCATTGCCTCCAGGATGACCACCCTATTGCCTATGTAGTGCACCCTACGTGTCCTGATCAAAAGTAACACACTATAAAGGGAATAGGGTGCCATTTAGGACACAGGCCTGGACTAACCAGTGGCCTCCACCATTCCCTCCAGGATGACCACCATCTCGAAGTCGTCCTTCTCCAGCTGGCCCTGAGACATGTCCCAGAAGGGTGAGCGGCAGTCGATCTCGTGGGAGATGACCAGTGGAGACACCAGGAAAAGACGGTCGTCCCCAGTCTCAAAACCCACACTGATGTCTGTCTGGTCCAGAGGGATAAACTCACCTGGAGAGGGGGAGAAAGATGGATGGGAGAGAAGTGAGTTATAAAACATTGAGGGCCGGTTTCCTGGATACAGATTAAGCCTAGTCCTGAGGGACGTCCCAATCCACTTTACTTGCGACCTCTTCCCTCCTCCACTCCCCCTCGCTCGGGAAAGGCTCCCTCGGGGAAACGTTATACATACGTCACCGAGTGTTCACTCCAAGTGAAGGGAGGAAGGGAAGATGATAATTTGGAACGGAATGCAGCCCTGGACAAAAAAAAATACTCAATCAATCATCAAATCTATAAAGCCCTTTTTACATCAGCAGTTGTCACAAAGTGCTTTACAGATCCCCAGCCTAAAACCTCAGAGAGCAAGCAATGCAGATGCAGAAGCACAGTGGCTAGGAGAAAGTAAGGACCAGGCTCCGAGGGGTGGCTAGTCCTCTTCTGGGTGTACCGGGTAGAGATTTAAGAGTACCTGTGGCCATTAAGGTCAGATCGGTTTTCAATACTCAATGCTTCCCACAGTTGTGTCAAGTTGGCTGGATGTCCTTTGGGTGGTGGACCATTCTCGATACACACAGGAAACTGTGAAGCGTGAAAAACCCAGGAGTGTTGCAATTCTTGACACAAACCAGTGCGCCTGGCACCTACTACCATACCCCATTCAAAGGCACTTAAATATTTTGTCTTGCCCATTCAACCTCTGAATGGCACATATACACAATCCATGTCTCAAGGCTTATAAAATCCTTCTTTAACCTGTCTCCACCCCTTCATTTACACTGATTTAAGTGGATTTAACAAGTGACATCAATATGGGCTCATACAGTGCATTTGGAAAGTATTCAGACCCCTTCTCCACATTTTGTTCCATTACAGCCTTATTCTAAAATGGATTAAATTAGTTTTTTTCCCATCATCAATTCCCTACACACAATACCCCATAATGTCAAAGCGAAAACAGGTTTTTAGAAATTGTAGCTAATTTATTAAAAATAAAATACAGAAATAACTTATTTACATCAGTATTCAGACCCTTTGCTATGAGACTCAAAATTGAACTGAGGTGCATCCTGTTTCCATTGATCATTCTTGAGATGTTTCTACAACTTGATTGGAGTCAGAGCAAAAACCAAGCCATGAGGTCGAAGGAATGTGGCCTCCATCATTCTTAAATGGAAGAAGTTTGGAACCACCAAGACTCTTCCTAGAGCTGGCCGCCTGGCCAAACTGAGCAATCGGGGGAGAAGGGCCTTGGTCAGGGAGGTGACCAAGAACCCGATGGTCACTCTGACAGAGCTCCTCTGTGGAGATGGGAGAACCTTCCAGAAGGACAACCATCTCTGCAGCACTCCACCAAATCAGGCCTTTATGGTAGAGCGGCCAGACGGAAGAGCCATTCCTCAGTAAAAGGCACACGACAGCCCGCTTGGAGTTTGCCAAAAGGCACCTAACTGACTCTCAGATCATGAGAAACAAGATTCTCTGGTCTGGTGAAACCAAGATTGAACTCTTTGGCCTGAATGCCAAGCGTCACATCTGGAGGAAACCTGGCCCCATCCCTACGGTGAAGCATGGTGGTGGCAGCATCATGCTGTTAGGATGTTTTTCAGCAGCAGGGACTGGGAGACTAGTCAGGATAGAGGGAAAGATGAATGGAGCAACGTACAGAGAGATCCTTGATGAAAACCTGCTCCAGAGTGCTCAGGACCTCAGAATGGGGCGAAGGTTCACTTTCCAACAGGATAACGACCCTAAGCACACAGCCAAGACAACGCAGGAGTGGCTTCGGGAGAAGTCTCTGAATGTCCTTGAGTGGCCCAGCCAGTGCCCGGACTTGAACCCAATCGAACATCGCTGGAGAGACCTGAAAATAGCTGTGCAGCGACTCTGCAGAGAAGAATGGGAGAAACTCCTCACATACATTTACATTTACATTTTACATTTTAGTCATTTAGCAGACGCTCTTATCCAGAGTGACTTACAGTTAGTGCATACATTATTTTATTTTGTTCATACTTGCCCCCCGTGGGAATCAAACCCACAACCCTGGCATTGCAAACGCCATGCTCTACCAACTGAGCTACATCCCTGCCGGCCATTCCCTCCCCTACCCTGGACGACGCTGGGCCAATTGTGCGCCGCCCCATGGGACTCCCGGTCGCGGCCAGCTACGACAGAGCCTGGATTCTAACCAGGATCTCTAGTGGCACAGCTAGCACTGCGATGCAGTGCCTTAGACCACTGCGCCACTCGGGAGTACATACAGGTGTGCCAAGCTTGTAGCGTCATACCCAAGAAGACTCAAGGCTGTAATCGCTGCCAAAGGTGATTCAACAAAGTACTGAGTAAAGGGTCTGAATACTTATGTAAATGTCATATTTCAGGTTTTCTTTTTAAAATACATTTGCAAAAATTTCTAAAAACCTGCTTTTGCTTTGTCATTATGGGGTATTGTGTGTATATTGATGAGGGGGGGAAAACAATTTAATCCATTTTAGAATAAGGCTGTAACCTAACAAAATGTGGAAAAAGGGAAGGGGTCTGAATACATTCCGAATGCACCTGGCTTTCACCTGGATTCACCTGGGGGTCGGTCTATGTCATGGAAAGAGCAGATGTCCTTAATGTTTTGTACACTCAGTGTATATCGCTTCCATAGTAGAAAATAACATATGTGGAATGTTCTTGCCTGCATCCCAAATGGCACCCTATTCCCTATATAGTGCACTACTTTTGACCAAAGCCCATACTCTGGTCAAAAGTAGTGCACTTTATAGGGAATAGGGTGCCATTTGGAATGCAGTCCTTGTATGGCGATTGATGGTATATTAGCCTCACCTTCCTGAGTCTGTTTAGACTTGATGAGTTTGGCCCTCATGTTGGCTCCTACAATGTGCGAGCTGCGCAGGTCTCCCACCCGGAACATCAGACACAGTCTGTCGTCTCTCAGAGAGATCACTGCATTCTTAGAAAACACCAGGGTCTCTGCACGCTTATTGGGCTGAGAGATCTTCACAAACATACAGCCCACCTGAGGAGAAGAAGATCACTTCATTGTCCAATGTCCAAACACAAAGGACCAACGGAAATTTGAGTTCCACTTCATCCCAAACGCTCCAAAAGGCACAGACGGAGAAGGGGACAGAAGGGCTATCGTCATTTTTAAGGGGCAGAGCTTTTTGATATGATGACACAAGTTCTTCAAACAATTTGTATGATGGAGAAAAACATATGCAATTATAATAGTGTCAGAATATATCCTTAGGGTAAATGGAGATTGTGTAGAGTGTAGAGCTAGTACTGACATCTCATAGATTTGATATTAGAATAATCTAGTATGCCGTTTATCATGATCATCATGTACAGTAAAAATACAGTAGGGACTGTACGGCCTGCATCTCAAATGGCACCCTATTCCGCATATAGTGCACTACTTTGACCAGAACACTATGGCCCTGGTCAAAAGTAGTGCACTACATAGGGAATAGGGAGCCATTAGGGTCGCAGGCCATGAGTCTCACCATGAAGGCATTGACCATAGATCCCAGTATGGCCTGGAGTAGGAGCAGCATGGTGCCCACTGGACACTGGTCAGTGATGACACGGTGGCCGTAACCAATGGTGGTCTCTGTCTCGATAGAGAAGAGGAAGGCAGAGATGAAGCCGTTCACGTTGTTGACGCACGGTGTCCATGTCTCATCTTCCAGATGATCTAGATCCCCTCTGGGAGGGGAGAAACAACATTTTGTATTATGTTGTTTTTGTAAATTGTGTATATGCAGGGCTCCCTTGTAAAAAGAGACTTTGGTCTCAATGGGACTCTGCTAAAATAAAGGTTAAATAAATAATAACAGGGGGAGAAGGGAGCAGTGGAGAGAGAGAAAGTACAGAAGGGAGGAGAGAGGGAGTGGAGAGAGAGAGGGAGTGGAGAGAGAGAGGGAGTGGAGAGAGAGAGGGAGTGGAGAGAGAGAGAGAGAGAGAGGGGGGGGGGGAGTAGAGAGAGAGAGGGAGGGGGAGTGGAGAGAGAGAAGGAGTGGAAAGAGAGAGAGAGAGAGACAGAGAGAGGAGAGAGAGACAGAGACAGAGACAGAGACAGAGACAGAGAGAGGAGCAAAGAGGCAACAACAATATAGGTTGTGAAAAACTATCCATTTACTAATATACTTGCTCTACAGAGAAGAAATTGCATCATCTAGAGAAAGGTTTCCCAAACTCGGTCCTTGGGCCACCCCTGGGTGCACGTTTTGGTTTTTGCCCTAGCACTATACAGCTAATTCAAATAATCAAAACTTGATGAGTTGGTTATTTGAATCAGCTGTGTAGTGCTAGGGAAAAAAACAAAACGTGCACCCAGGGAGGACCCCAGGACCGAGTTTGGGAAACCCTGATCTAGAGTGATTCTCTCTGACAGTGATACCATGGATGCATCTGAAATGCCATCCTATTCCCTATATAGTGCACTACTTTTAACCAGGGCCCATAGGAGACTAGGGTGTATAGAGAATAGGGTGCCATTTGGGAAGCATCCTAAAAAGTGTGACTATATTAATGAAAGTAGTACTGTGGGACTGAGCGGATAATAGGGAATAGGGTGTCATTTGGGACAATCCCAAGTGTCCCCTTGCCTGCTGTCTGTCTGTCTGTCTGTCTGTCTGTCTGTCTGTCTCGCTCACCGGAGGTAGGCTATCAGGTACCAGATGGCCCCGAAGAAGAGCCAGGTGATGGCGTAGGCCATGACAAAGACGAAGAGTGAGCAGCGCCAGTTGAGGTCCACCAGCGTGGTGAAGATATCTGTCAGATAACGGTATGTCTCCCTCATGTTACCATGTGAAACGTTACAGCGGCCATTCTTCTCCACATAGCGCTGCGTCTTACGTCTCTTGGCTGCAGGCAGGAAACCAGGCCAGGGAGGGAGGGAGGGGAGAGAGAGAGAGAGAGAGAGCGAGAGAGAGAGCGAGAGAGAGAGAGAGAGAGAGAGAGAGAAAGAAAGAGTGAGACAGGGAAACACTACAGTGACATATCGGCAGTAGAAATATGGGACTAAGGGAATGAGCAATAGGAAGACAGGGGTTGGGGGTGATGTCCAAATCACTGAGGAACAGGCATTTACACGGGGGGGGGGGTAGACGTGGAGGAGAAGGGGGGGTAGACGTGGAGGAGAAGTGGGGGTAGAGGTGGAGGAGGAGGGAGGGTAGACGTGGAGGAGAAGGGGGGTAGAGGTGGGGGGTAGAGGTGGAGGGGGGGTAGACGTGGAGGAGGGAAGGGGGGGTAGAGGTGGAGGGGGGGGGGGGTAGAGGTGGAGGAGGAGGGGGGAGTAGAGGTGGAGGAGGAGGGGGGTAGACGTGGAGGAGAAGGGGGGTAGACGTGGAGGAGAAGGGGGGGTAGAGGTGGAGGAGGTGGAGGAGGGGGGGTAGACGTGGAGGAGAAGGGGGTAGAGGTGGAGGAGGAGGGGGGGGGGTAGAGGTGGAGGAGAAGGGGGGGTAGAGGTGGAGGAGAAGGGGGGTAGACGTGGAGGAGGAGGGGGGGTAGACGTGGAGGAGGAGGGGGGGGTAGAGGTGGAGGAGGAGGGGGGGGTAGAGGTGGAGGAGGGGGGGTAGACGTGGAGGAGAAGGGGGGGGGGGGAGGGTAGAGTGAGGAGGAGGGGGGTAGACGTGGAGGAGAAGGGGGGTAGAGGTGGAGGAGAAGGGGGGTAGAGGTGGAGGAGGAGGGGGGGGTAGAGGTGGAGGAGAAGGGGGGGTAGAGGTGGAGGGGGGGGGTAGAGGTGGAGGAGAAGGGGGGGTAGAGGTGGAGGGGGGGGGTAGAGGTGGAGGAGGAGGGGGGGTAGACGTGGAGGAGAAGGGGGGTAGACGTGGAGGAGAAGGGGGGTAGACGTGGAGGAGAAGGGGGGGTAGAGGTGGAGGAGGTGGAGGTAGACGTGGAGGAGAAGGGGGGGTAGAGGTGGAGGAGAAGGGGGATAGAGGTGGGGGGGGTAGAGGTGGCGGAGGAGGGGGAGGAGGGGGGGGTAGACGTGGAGGAGAAGGGGGGGTAGAGGTAGAGGAGGAGGAGGGAGAGAGAAGATGCAGTCAATAACCTCCTTTCTGCAGAATGTTGAGAGCCAGAGAGAACACAGTGGTTGCGTCCCAAATGGCTCCCTAATATATAGGGAATAGGGTGCCATCTGGGAATAAGCCTGTCTGTCAGTGGAAATCATTTAAAGCCAAACACAAAACCTTACATTGGTCACCGAACACTGTCAGACGGTCGCTTAGTAACCTCTCGTTCTAGATAGATTCACTCTCGTGGCGCCAACAATGTCTTAGGGCAGAAAAGAACAGTCCTGGGAGAGAAAGTGTCCGTCCCAAATGGAACCTTATTCACTACATAGTGCACTACTTTTTACCAGAGCTCTATGCGATGCCAATAGGGTGCCAATTTAGGACACCGATAAAGGCAACAGCACTACTACTCACCCCAGCCAAATCTACCCCTCTCCTTCTCCACCACCCGGGGCAGCTTCTTAACGTACTCCTCAGATGCTGCATTGGCCTGCCTCTCTGCCAACTTGGACTTCCACGATCTGTTAACGCTAGGCTGGGCGGTATCCGTGGTAACCACATGGCCCAGATCCTCAGACACATCAAACACTCCGATGGAGGCCGTCACCTCGGTAACCTCTTCCACTAGTCCCTCCCCTTTCTCCACCACGGGCAGAGAGAGGGACTCCGGCCGCGAGGTGAAGGCACAGTCTTCAAGCGCCATCGGGAATGATGGTGTGTGTGTGTGTGTTACTGAGTTTTTGAGGTCTCCCCTATGGCAGACTCTGTCCAACGGTTATTGACTGTTTCATCCGGTTCTTTACGTCAAGGTCCTAGGATACAAAACAAAGAGGGGGAAATTGATCCAAATGATTATTGTGAGGTCATAGAAGAGTGGGGTATTTAGATGGCTCTGCATGCTGCAAATATGTTCTACAGGGAGTGTAGTAGGGCTACTGTTGAGCAGAACTGATGCCCTTCACTATACTGAATAACACTATGTTTTCGTCCCAAATGGCAACCTATTCCCTTTATAGTATGCTACTTTTGAACAGAGCCCTATGGACAAAATAAGTGCACTATAGGAATTAGGGTGCCATTTGGGAAGCAGTCTTCTGTCCCTCAAGAAATTGTCCTGACTCAATACCCATGTCTCTATCTGTCCTTGACACAACTTTCTCTGAACAACCCCTCCTATTTCCTTCAGTACAGTCTAATCTATATTAATGGAATAGGCCAGATTTTACAGGGAGGAATGAGTGAAGCCCTAATCTACGTCCCAAATTGCACCCCATTTCCTATGTAGTGCACTACTGTTGACCAGGGCCCATAGTGCTCTGGTCAACAGTAATGAAGGGGATAGGGTGCTATTTGGGAGTTTGCACTGAATAGTTCCACTGACAAGGACAGATTGGTTATTTCTCCTGTCTGACTGTGGGGGATGGGGAAAGTGAATTTGGTCCGAGAAAGAGTCACATATTGCCGAGACAAAACCATATGCTGTACATATAGCCTTAAGAATAAAGTCATGAGATTGGTCATGCATAGCCTGTGTGTGTGTTATGGGAGCACAATGAATTACAGGAATCTTTTCACGGAGTAAGGAGGCTATTCTTTATCAGAAAATGTACAATGCCACTTTTAACGTATTCTGTAATATAGGCCTATAACAACACAAAACAGCATTAAGACAGGTTCCATTCTAATAATGTGAATAATCACCGTGTTACGTATAAAATGGAGCCCGGTTTCCTCCAGTGATATAAAACACTACCTGGATAGCATATTCGGGTAACTAAACGCGTGGGGTGATGGAATAGCCTATAGCCTACGATGCTGACTATTCAACAATGACGCATTAAACATTTCTTTAATGTATTCGATCAGAAAATGCACATTTATCAATCATAATCACTGAAAAAGAAAACAACAGTGATTTACCTTACCTGTAGTGGGTTTTGTCCCGCTTTCATGTGGTGATTGCCTTATCCTATTATATAATTTCCCGTCCCCTTATTTATTTATTTATTTATTTATTTATTTATTTATTTATTTATTTATTTATTTATAAGGACCTTACAGATGAGTGGATGGACCAAGAGTGAGCCTCGGAGATCGTCGGCTCAGGTTCGACCATCCGACAAATGTTTTATGTTTACCTTCGGCTCTGCTGAACAGGAGGGTGTTCGACGCAGCATCAGTTCAGTCCTCTCCTCTCAACAGGAAACAAAGGCAAGCCCAAGCAAACGACTCTGCTTTTTAGACGTCTGTAATCCTCAACGAACAGCGGGCTGATTATAGAAAAAGCCGTTAAGTATTGACAAATAGCATATTCTTATATTTTCCAAGTTTGTCTGCAAAGAGTTTAAAATGGTGGCAGTTCGTCCGTACAGACCATTGGGTACAGACAGTGCAGCGAGCAGCAGCACCGATCCGCATCCGATAAAATTGTATGAATCACCTGCAGCTGTGCAGGTGTTAGATCATGGGAGCGACAGTCGAGGGGGATGCTGTCATCACCATCACCCATAAACCATCACCCAGATTCATGATCATTACAGGCATTAGAGATTTAAACCATTGTGCTGTTTTGCCAACTGTTTTACACAGATGGGAAAGTCTGGACATTTTAGATGAAGATGATTTGAGGAGGCATTTACAACCGGAGGTTGGTAGGTATATACCATTTTATGATCCAGTAGACCTATTCTTCAATAGGCTTACAGGAGGTCATAATGATATTCGGGCTGTGGAGGATGACGTTTTGAAAATAAATGAATTAATATCCATGTGAAACAACCAGTTTCTGAACAGCCAAATAGCCTAACATCATTGACAATAAACGAATTCATAATGTTTTTCAGAAAGAATTGGTATTCTGATGCATTCAATGGTTAATCACATGTAGGTTACTATTTTTTATTATAAGGGTTTATTTTGTAATAATTGGGTCGCCTCTGTGTGCAATACCACTTCCAATGCACCAGGTGACGCACCTTTTCTGTACTTGTCACATGCCGATAACGCGACCGGAAGCGTAAATTTTTTTCCTTTTTCAAGATGTCGGTGTATGGCCCCGTGGTGAAAATTCACCCTGTTGTTCTCGCCTCCATCGGCGACTCTTACGAAAGGAGAAATGAGGGAGCGAGTCGTGTGATCGGAACCTTGCTTGGTAATTTACTCCTAAACTTACTTTAGCTCTAAAGAGAATTGATTAGAAGCGCAGGGTGGCTACATGCATGTCTCGGCTAGCTAGCTAGCTACGGCTAACTTAGCTTGCATCACTTTGCTGATGCATTGCCAGGCTCTCACATCCTCTTGATTCGAGAATATACCAAAGCTCCTCTGATTATAAAGATTTGACCAAGTATTAAAAGGTTTTTAGCTTGCCTAGACTACTGTGGAATGTTTTTGTTGTTGAAACTTTGCTTGCTAGCCATAGGAGTAGTTGAATTTGTCCCCATAACATAGGCCCAACACGATTATCATAACTTATTGCATTCCTTGTCTTCCTCAGGTACAATTGACAAGCACTCTGTTGAGGTCACCAACTGTTTCTCCGTCCCCCACAATGAGTCTGAAGATGAGGTGATGAGAACTGTCACTGATGCAACTATATATCTATCTGTCCTATCTATATCCTATCTATCTAACGTTATCTATCGCTGTAGAGTAGAAATTAGGATAGCTTGCACATGTAGTCCTATAATTGACACTGGTGTCTTTGTGATGGTGACAGGTTGCTGTGGACATGGAGTTTGCCAAGAACATGTATGAGCTTCATAAGAGGGTGTCACCCAGCGAGGTCATCGTTGGATGGTGAGTAGGCTTATATTCTTCCCTAGTCCATTAGATAAAGCTTTTGTCCCACACCGGTACTAACAATTCATTACAACTTATTCAATTAACTAGAAAAAAGGTACATTTCTTAAAAGTAAATGTGTGTGCTTGTCAGCTGTCCAAAAGCCTGTGGTGGAGTCAGAACACTGCTCTGAAGTGAAACCATTCTTCTTCAACAGGTATGCCACTGGCTTTGAGATCACTGAGCACTCAGTGTTGATCCATGAGTATTACAGCCGAGAGGCCACAAACCCCATTCACATGACCATGGACACCGCCCTGCAGAGTGGCAAGATGAACATCCGTGCCTACGTCAGGTCAGTGACTTCCCCCACAACCTCTCACTTTAACCAGTCTCTCTTCTGTCTCAGTATTTTAGTTTGTCCGTTGCAAAGCTATTGTTGACTCCATCCCAAGCAAAGTTCCTTCAACTCCCTGTGACTTCCTGATCTCATATTTCTTTTTTGTTTGTTTGCATTTGCTGTTTCATTACTTTGCTTTTTAAGCACTTTGGCATTCCTTATGATGGGTTAAATAAATTAGTATTGTTTTTTCCATTGCTTTGTTTGCCCTGACAGTGCCCAGATGGGTGTGCCGGGAAAGACTGTCGGTGTGATGTTCACCCCCCTGAGTGTGAAATACAAGTATTACGACACAGAGAGGATAGGTGGTAAGAACCTTCATTATTTTCTTGCCTTGTTTTCTGTCCGTTTAACAATTCGCTATGTCCCCTTTGTGCCTTGCTTGGACATTGTATTATTTGTTACGCCATGTCCCACGGGGGGCCAGTATGATTTTTTAAAATTTTTATAAATGTATGAACTCACTAACTGTAAGTAGCGTCTGCTAAATTACTAAAATGTAAACATGTATTTTTGTTGGGGGGGGAGCCTTAATAAAAAATGATAAAATAATTATTGTATTCTAGTTGACCTTCTCCAGAGAACGAGAGATGCTCCTAACACCACCAATGGGCTGACCTCTGACCTCTGCCAGGTGGGCGGGGCAGCAGGCCGCGTTCAGGACATGCTGGCCACTGTACTGACCTACATTGAGGATGTGTTGGTGAGTAGCCTGCACACACAGAGCCTATATATGGCTGCGTCCCAAATAGCATCCTATTCCATTACAGAGTCGTCCGTTATGTCAACCATTTTACCGTATGCAGCTCATCTGAAAATAGTTGATTTTAGTTGAGTTACGACTTCATTCGTGTTTATGCGTCTCTGTGGCCATAACTTAAGCCTTTCTTTCTGTATGTTTCTCAGTCTGGTAAGCAGACGGCAGATAACAGTGTTGGACGGTACCTGATGGATCTGGTCAACAAGGTTCCTAAGATCACAGCAGAGGACTTTGAGACCATGCTCAACTCCAACATCAATGTAAGTAATTATGCCTCTTTAGGATTTGGGCCTGTAATAATCAAGCGTCTCAGAGTAGGAGTACTGATCTAGGATCAGTTTAGCCTTTTAGATCACAATGATTAAGATTACATGGACAGGGAGGACCTGATCCTAGATCAGTACTCCTACTCTGAGATGCTTGATACATAAGGCCCCAGATCTGTGGAATTGATTCAGTTGAACAGCTATAGTAAATATTTGTCCCTTGCACTCATGACATTTGTGTAAATGTATACCTTTTTGTCTTTTACAGGACCTGTTGATGGTGACCTATCTATCTAACCTGACTCAAGCACAGATCGCCCTGAATGAGAAGATCGTGGTACTCTGAGCATTGAGGGATCAGGATAGTTTAAATCAAAATCAAATCACATTTTATTTGTCACAACACATGTTTAGCAGATATTATTGCGGATGTAGCGAAATGCTTGTGTTTCTAGCTCCCAACAGTGCAGTATATCTAACAATTCGGTTAGATATAACAATTTAGTTCTTAATAAAGAGTGATGGATATTGAATTTTTTGGTATACGTCTTTAGCTCAAATGAATAAAGGTGATATACAGTAAAGTGTGTAATTGCATAGTTTTGCTTTCTACAACTGAAGTGTTTTCTAGCTAAACCAATTTATTTGCAGATTCCACAATGTGTTCTTGAATGGCGCAATGCATGCATAGTAAAAAAAAAAAATTTTTTTTCTGGAAAAGCAGTATGAATATAAATTAAAGCTCAGAAGCATTTGGTTGAGTGAGTACTCTCTCCCCCTATGGGTGGTGTCCTATGGGTGGTTTCACAAGTAATACAAACAGGCCTCATATGTAGGGCCCTGTGTTTTCTGCAATCATGTGACATGGCAAGATTTTATCCTGTATTTGAAGCCTCATCCAGAAATGAGAATTGCACCAAAAATTAAAGATTGTGCGAAAACCCTACTCATACAGTATGATGACTATGCAGATTAGGTACCAGTTCAAGTACCTAGGATGAAATCCCTATTTGGTCCACAGGGTGGCACCAAAGAGATCAGGTCTGTTGCCTGGCACTGTGAGGGGTCTCCTAGGCAACAGGGGTCATAGATAGATAGAGAGAGGGCAGGGACTGGGAGAAGAGCAAAGGTCCAATGAATTCTGATGACCAGAGGGTCAAAGAGATGTTCTGTATACCCCTATGGACCCTGGTCAAAAGTGGTGCACTTTATAGGGAATAGGGTCCCATTTGGGATGCACATTTGACAGAGCATACCCTACATCTAATAGTCATCTTTTGTATCCTCTTTCTGGGTGGAGTCAACAGTTATGTACACCATATTTACCTTCCTGGTCCCATGTGGCTCAGTACGGGGGACCAGTACGGAAATGTATGCACTCACTACTGTAAGTTTCTCTGGATAAGAGCGTCTGCTAAATGACTAAAATGTGACTGAGACACTTAAATGAAACCTGATTCATGCATCCATTCATTTCTTTGAATCTTGATTTAAAAATAGTTTAATGAAATATGCAAAGTTCTATCTTTTCCCCCTGTTTCTACCATGAATAGAGTTATAGTATCAAGGGGTAACAGAGTACATTGATCAAGTGTTAAAGTGTCGAGGGGTAACGAGTACATTGACCCAGCGTTACGGTATCGAAGGGTAGCAGAGTACATTGACCAAGCGTTACAGTATCGAGGGGTAACAGAGTACATTGACCAAGCGTTACAGTGTTGAGGGTAACAGAGTACATTGACCAAGCGTTACAGTGTCGAGGGGTAACAGAGTACATTGACCAAGCGTTACAGTATCGAGGGGTTACAGAGTACATTGACCAAGCGTTACAGTATCGGGGTGAAACAGAGTACATTGACCTAGCATTACAGTATCGAGGGGTAACAGAGTACATTGACCAAGTGTTACAGTATTGAAGGGTAACAGAGTACATTGACCAAGCGTTACAGTATCGGGGTGAAACAGAGTACATTGACCTAGCATTACAGTATCGAGGGGTAACAGAGTACATTGACCAAGCGTTACAGTATTGAAGGGTAACAGAGTACATTGACCAAGCGTTACAGTATTGAAGGGTTAACAGAGTACATTGACCAAGCGTTACAGTATCGAGGGGTTACAGAGTACATTGACCTAGCATTACAGTATCGAGGGGTAACAGAGTACATTGACCAAACATTGACAATTTCATCCTATGTGTAGGATCAAGGCAGCTGTGTTGCAAAGAGACTCATCTAATTCTCACATAACAAACTAGTTAGAGAAATAATATATTGCTGTCATTATCTAATCAAAACTATTATATCATTATGATCTGTGGTACTGGGGTTCGCTGATTTTGTCTGCGTCCAAAATGGCACCATATTCCCTATGTACCGCTGCTGACCAGAGCCCTATGCACTATAGGGAATAGGGTGCCATTTGGGATGTACAGTGGGGGAAAAAAAGTATTTAGTCAGCCACCAATTCTGCAAGTTCTCCCACTTAAAAAGATGAGAGAGGCCTGTAATTTTCATCATATGTACACGTCAACTATGACAGACAAAATGAGGAAAAGAAATCCAGAAAATCACATTGTAGGATTTCTAATGAATTTATTTGCAAATTATGGTGGAAAATAAGTATTTGGTCACCTACAAACAAGCAAGATTTCTGGCTCTCACAGACCTGTAACTTCTTCTTTAAGAGGCTCCTCTGTCCTCCACTCGTTACCTGTATTAATGGCACCTGTTTGAACTTGTTATCAGTATAAAAGACACCTGTCCACAACCTCAAACAGTCACACTCCAAACTCCACTATGGCCAAGACCAAAGAGCTGTCAAAGGACACCAGAAACAACATTGTAGACCTGCACCAGGCTGGGAAGGCTGAATCTGCAATAGGTAAGCAGCTTGGTTTGAAGAAATCAACTGTGGGAGCAATTATTAGGAAATGGAAGACATACAAGACCACTGATAATCTCCCTCGATCTGGGGCTCCACACAAGATCTCACCCCGTGGGGTCAAAATGATCACAAGAACGGTGAGCAAAAATCCCAGAACCACATGGGGGGACCTAGTGAATGACCTGCAGAGAGCTGGGACCAAAGTAACAAAGCCTACCATCAATAACACACTACGCCGACAGGGACTCAAATCCTGCAGTGCCAGACGTGTCCCCCTGCTTAAGCCAGTACATGTCCAGGCCCGTCTGAAGTTTGCTAGAGTGCATTTGGATGATCCAGAAGAGGATTGGGAGAATGTCATATGGTCAGATGAAACCAAAATATAACTTTTTGGTAAAAACTCAACTCGTCGTGTTTGGAGGACAAAGAATGCTGAGTTGCATCCAAAGAACACCATACCTACTGTGAAGCATGGGGGTGGAAACATCATGCTTTGGGGCTGTTTTTCTGCAAAGGGACCAGGACGACTGATCCGTGTAAAGGAAAGAATGAATGGGGCCATGTATCGTGAGATTTTGAGTGAAAACCTCCTTCCATCAGCAGGGGCATTGAAGATGAAACGTGGCTGGGTCTTTCAGCATGACAATGATCCCAAAACACACCGCCCGGGCAACGAAGGAGTGGCTTCGTAAGAAGCATTTCAAGGTCCTGGAGTGGCCTAGCCAGTCTCCAGATCTCAACCCCATAGAAAATCTTTGGAGGGAGTTGAAAGTCTGTGTTGCCCAGCGACAGCCCCAAAACATCACTGCTCTAGAGGAGATCTGCATGGAGGAATGGGCCAAAATACCAGCAACAGTGTGTGAAAACCTTGTGAAGACTTACAGAAAACGTTTGACCTGTGTCATTGCCAACAAAGGGTATATAACAAAGTATTGAGAAACTTTTGTTATTGACCAAATACTTATTTTCCACCATAATTTGCAAATAAATTCATAAAAAATCCTACAATGTGATTTTCTGGATTTTTTAAAACATTTTGTCTGTCATAGTTGACGTGTACCTATGATGAAAATTACAGGCATCTCTCATCTTTTTAAGTGGGAGAACTTGCACAATTGGTGGCTGACTAAATACTTTTTTCCCCCACTGTAACTATTCACCCCCCCCCCCCCCCTTACTTTGTAGACCCACCTTTTGCAGCAATTACAGCTGCAAGTCTCTTGGGGTATGTCTCTATAAGCTTGGCACATCTAGCCACTGGGATTTTTGCCCATTCTGCAAAACTGCTCCAGCTCCTTCAAGTTGGATGGGTTCCGCTTGTGTACAGCAATCTTTAAGTCATACCACAGATTCTCAATTGGATTGAAGTTTGGGCTTTGACTAGGCCATTCCATGACATTTAAATGTTTCCCCTTTAACCACTCTAGTGTTGCTTTAGCAGTATGCTTAGGGTCATTGTCCTGCTGGAAGGTGAACCTCCGTCCCAGTCTCAAATCTCTGGAAGACTGAAACATGTTTCCCTCAAGAAATTCTCTGTATTTAGCGCCATCCATCATTCCTTCAATTCTGACCAGTTTCCCAGTCCCTGCCGATGAAAAACATCCCCACAGCATCATGCTTCACTATAGGGATGGTGTTCTCGGGGTGATGAGAGGTGTTGGGTTTGCGCCAGACAATGCATTTTCCTTGATGGCCAAAAAGCTACATTTCAGTCTCATCTGACCAGATTACCTTCTTCCATATGTTTGGGGAGTCTCCCACATGCCTTTTGGCGAACACCTAACGTGGTTGCTTATTTTTTCTATAAGCAATGGCTTTTTTCTGGCCACTCTTCCATAAAGCCCAGCTCTGTGGAGTGTACGGCTTAAAGTGGACCCATGGACAGATACTCCAATCTCTGTTATTTATTTGTTCAAATTTTTTGAAACAAGTCATTTTTTTAATTCCACTTCACCAATCTGGACTATTTTGTGTTTGTCCATTACATAAAATCCAAATAACAATCCATTTAAATTACAGGTTGTAATGCAACAAAATAGGAAAAACACCAAGGG